TTATATAACAGATAATCTTTCTCATGTTCATCTCTAGTGTGTTAGATAATATGATGATATTCTATCTTGTGAACTCGAACAAAGCACGCAAATATTTTCTTTATATTTAGGGTTAGGATAGTTAGTAAGCAACTGATGAAAAGCCTTTAAAGTTCAATTCAATTCATATTATTATTTCACTTTATCTATTTGCCTTGATTTTTTGGCTTAGATTTATGTCAATACCAAATGTTTCTTTACTAATGAATTTTGTTATACTTTTCATCTAGTAATACAATACAATTTTAAATTTTACTCTATACAAGTTACCTTGGTGATAAGTATCATTAAAAATTGACTAAAAATGAATTTATTTATTCTATAGCAAAGTAGTAACTCTAAAAATCAAGATGAAATACTTCATTATTCTACAGTATGAATAAATCTTTACTCCTTTGATATGATAAATGATAAAAGTATGAGATAGTACTCGATTTATTTCATTTCATCTTTTCATTTGCTTTCATAAAGTATACAGATATTACCTATAGATGTATGTCATTTTCACATTTGTAGCTATGACAACTGTATTTAATGAACATTTACCATTGTTCTTAAAATTTCAATCCTTTTATTTGGTAGAAATACACATGACATTATCTCATGATATAGAGCAACCGCCACCCAATGTCATCGTTGAATATCTGTCCTGATGGCCATCAGGCTTTGACTACATCGGTCACAACTTCTCTACGATGAATAACAACTTGAAATATTTCCAAATCTCTAAAAACTCCCTCAAAATTTACATGACATTATCATTTTAAGTTGTTATTCATTGTAGACTAACATCAGTTGGAGGAACAAAAGAAACCTGGGAGCATTGGAAAGCTGTTTCATCCTAGTATGGGACTCCTCAGCAGTGCGTATCCATGACCCCGCCAGGGATCCAAATCCCTCACAACTCCCTCAAAATTCATTATCATTTTAGTCAACACCAAAATTAAAATTTATGGAAAATGTTTAAAACTTTTATAAATATGATAGATACATTAGAGATGAGTGATATCAGGTGTAAGGCATTTATTTCACTAAACAATAACTTCCTTAGTCAATGACTAAATGATAATCACTGAAAATTGTCAATGGTAATTAGGTTTATTAGCTCCAGATCAACTATGATAAGACATCGATTCAATAATTTATTCATTACTCATTTAGAATGATTATCTACAAACCAATGTATATACCGGATTCATAATTGCTGAAAATAATCATCTGAATCGATCAAATGTGTTAATAAACTGTGATGAATACACATTGAATCACTTTACATACAACTAAAAAGAGTTTGTTAGTTGGTTAGAGGTGATCAATAAGAAACCTTGGATCTAGGTTCCATGTATTTGAAACCTTATGAGAAGTGATGTCCTCTCACAGGACTCCATGTCGATTGCCTTCAACCAAATAATATCCATTGAAAGCACTATTATGGAGAGCTTAGAGGCTACATTGCAAAATGATCGGTAGAACTCGACGAGCAGTCAGTACTAGACAACATGAAAAAAGTCTATATTTCCTAAGATAAAGGCATATATTAAACGTGAGAATCTAATTTTGTTGTGTAAATTATTGGTTTCAAAGTTTTTAAAAAGGTTCAGAACTTTGTTTAGCCCAACAAGAAGAGAATATAGAAACATTTAAAATTTAATTTTTGTTGCCTCGCTACAACTGATAGATTCATCTTATATGGTCAACTGTGATTTCAGGAGTGCTAAGCATAAATAAAGATGACAGAACAAATGGTGTATCTGAAGTAAACATACAAATCAAAGCAATACTTTCTGATCAACCAATAATCAACTTTATTTTTGATATTCATTTTGTCTTATTATCTTTACAAAACAGAAATTGACTATCCTAATGGTGATTGCTGGTTCGAATCCAGCAGAGGTCCAAATTTTCCTTTCATCTTTAACTATCACCTAGTATAACTACCAGTTTGCCAAACTATGGTTACCTCAGATAGTTAAATGATAATCAACACGATGCTCTCCCTCTCTAATTTAGTTAGATTTGGATTGGGATGAGAAGTCTTGACTAGGCAGTCAGTGTGAATATGATCAAGCGATAGTAAATTATCAAGAATCCACATAGTAGTCAGGTAAAATCTATGGTAATTGAAGTGAAACAAAAGTCTGGTCAGCTGTCGGACCTCGTAGCTCAGTTAGTAAAGCATCGGGCCGGCAACCCAGTGGTCGCTAGTTTGAATCTTGCCGTTGTCCCAATGTTTATTTTACCTTCAATCATTGCCTAGTACGCCATTTCAGTAGCTTACGTTCGCTACTGAAGATCAGATGGATTGCCAGAAAGAATAAGCAACAAGGAACTTTGGCTGGTGACGAACCAACCAAGAACCTATCACGCAACAAATATGCAGGAAGAAGTGGAGATGGATTGGACATGCACTGAGAAGGCCGACTGAGGACATCACGCGTCAGGCCAGTTGCTCGAGTGGAATCCCCATGGGAAGCGACGAGTTGGGCGTCGGTGCCGAGGGTGACATGGAGGAGGTCGTGCGAGGAGGAAATGAGAGGTTGTGGGCTGTCGTGGAACCAGGTTCAAAAGATCTCAGAGAACAGAGTTCACTGGAGACGTGCTACTGAAGCCCTATGTTCCACTAGGAACCCAAGGGACTAATAATAATAATAATAATAATTAGATATAACACAGTAGAACATTATCACTTGCCGGATTATGTTTCAGACATAATTTATTGTCTAGTCACATCAAGATAACTACACAACTTTGAGATATCCTTTATCAAGTCCTAACTTCCTCATCTCCTTTGTGATGTAGGTAACAAGATTTTCCAAATAACAGGGCCAGAAAACTTACTTGTAAAACAGAAAAGCAAGGACAAAAAACCAGATACATCCAAGACACCTTACTCGTCAGCAATTACTTTGCTAAATTATTTGATAACTTCCTTAGGAATAGTAAAAACAATATCACTAATATTAGTAACACAGGTGTTAATAGTAGCAATAATAATGTTAATGATAATAGTGGCAAAACTGTGAAGAGAGAATTCAAAACCTTTACGGTATTACCATACGACGAAGACATTTTGTAGGATTCTCAAAAAAGCTGGCTGGGATTGGAGTGACATATAAACCTACAAACTCAGAAATAAGCTTCATGGGTTAAAAGATCCTATTGGTCCAATTAGGTAGTTTTTTTACCACATCCTTTGAAACGACTGCTAGGTCAAATACATAGGTCAAAGTAGTTGACCAGGCTCAGTTGGGCTATCCGAGCATAAACCCAGTTAGGTCAAAATTGTTCTGTCTTAATAAGGTAAGGAATTTAGCAAAAAGGCTCGGCCATAGCTACGCATGCAACTATATACACAACCGCACAGTAGGATGGAACAGAGTGTAAATCCTTCAAACTAACATACTAGGGATAGAGGGAGAGGTTGATGACTGAAACTTTGTTTATCGAATCAACACCTAAATATATGCAGCTACAGGAATGACTCAGCACCTGTTCCGGATATATGGAAATTCCTTCTACCCATATCAGAAAGGATATGAGGAAATTACGACTGTATAAAGGATGTCTCAACGTTGTGTATTTATCTTAACATGACTGTAGACAATAAATTATGTCCGAAAAGTAATCCAGTAAGTGATACTGTACCGCTATGTGATAGGCCTAATAAATCAACTGAGATGGAATTACATTCTACTAGAGTGACGAAATTTTACTCCTATATTAAAGATCGACTATGCTAGGAGAATAAAGTGAAATATGGTACACCGTACTGATAAATTTTAGTAGACCTAATACCTTTTTGATTTATCATTTTTACTGACATTGTATTGTTATCATTCACGATTTTCTCAATGCTTGAATATTACTTGAGGTATATATGAATAAGCATTGACTATGGCCCTTGGTAAGATATTCGGTGATTGGTCGAGACAAGGTCGAAGATTGATCTTACTTTGAGTATTTAAATTCATCATCTTGTCAAGATCAGTAGAGATCAGAAACCATGTACACACGTCTGCTCAATCACTAGACAAATTTTGAATATATATACTTTGAACACATTCAGCTCACGTTCCTTTTCACCTTATGGAATATGAACTAGTATCACTGTGTAAGCTTGTGGCTCATAGTCTACTGAACATTATCTTGAGCTGATAAGTTCTGGGTACCAATCCCGCTGAATTTATTTCGGCATGAACATTTAAGTAGTATCATAAGGGTATTCCACAAAACGTCTGCTTTATAGTCTAATCAATAAAACCTTTTGCGCATTGCTGAGTAGTGTAATCATTTACTGATGAAGTGAGCAGGAAGACGAGTTTGTCCACTGATGTTCACTTCACTTACTGATCAAATTTTTATATTTGGATAGATAAAATCCATTCACATATTCATGAGCTTCATCTATTGTATATAAATAACATTTTTATTGGTGAATATTACACAATATGATATGAAAACAGGTAGATGAACAGTGCAATCAGTAACTAATCTTATTCTTACGGGCAGTTAGTAGCCAATCACATCGCATTATCTTAGTTCATTTTATTAATCCACATTCAACAAACATTTTAATCAAACTAAAATATGACTCTCATAAGGTAACAAAATGACTCGTCATCTGGTTGACAAGTTTCATTGCTGCCTTGATACCTGACTTAGCGGTTACGGTATAGTATACGGTTGACCTAGTTGTGGTTCTTGAAGTTAACCAGATATAAACCGTCCAACAGACTCACCGTCATGAAGTGACCAGTATGTTCTACTTGCACTTGGTATAGGTTGCAGGTCTATTTTCAATTATCAGATGGGAGTGCAGGTTACCAATAACCGCGCCAATCTCTCAGCGTGCTAAATCATGCCATTACATGTTGATCTCGTACCGACGGGTTATCGAATTAAATAACTACTGTTATATGATCAATAAACAAATAATAACAAAGTTGTAATTAAAACATTACCTGAATTTTCGAAGTCTAAAGCGTTGAAACGTTCCATAAGTTTATCTTTATGGCGAATTATTCGCTGCCATAAACATACAAATGCTATATTGACTGGATCATCTAAACTGAAACCAATAAGAAAAATAGATGAATAAAAGGAAAAAACAGTGTCACATACTGTATCAATCAGTAAGTAAAAGAAAATACAAATACGGAAGAGAAAACTGCCTCATTGTTGGATCTAGTCAATATGAGAAGAAATTGATGTCTATTCGAGCTACATTTAAACTAGAGTAAGTTATAAGCATATCCGGATTTTCAACACTAATGTCAAGTGAGTCAGTGTTGCTTTATGGTTCAGAGACTGGATAGCGCGTTACGAATAGCATTTCCGACAAACGACTGCACACATTCATCAACAACTCCCACCCACGCTGGCTCGTCACTGAACCTCAGATGCATTCTCAGAAAGAATAAGCAAGGAGAAACCTCCTGCCACTGCCAACGAACCAACCAACAACTTATCACTCAACAAATATGCAGAAGGAAGTGCAGATGGATTAGGCATACACTGAGAAAACCATTCGGGAACATCACGCTCCAGACACTCGAGTAGAATCCAGATGGGAAGTGGCGAGTTGGGTATCCTAGTTGAGGACGACATAGAGGAAATGGTGTGAGAAAGAAATGAAGGTTTGTGGGGAGTGGTTGAGCGAGGTTGAAAATAGTGCAGAGAAGAGAGTGGAATGGAGGCATGCTACTGAAGCTGTATGTTCCACTAAGAACTCAAGGGACAAATAATAATAATAAAGTTATGATTATGATTAACCAACAAATCTGAAAGTCGCTATAAACAGCAGTTTCTGTGATACTAATGAGGTAACGCTGAACAGGATGCCATTTTTAACAAGTCAGAAAAAAGGGAAACAAATCACTTGCCTCACTTCACCTCTAACTGCATTTATCAAATTTACCTTTACTTGACAATACAGGTCAAATAAGAAGAAAAAGAGATGGGACTGTATTGACTTCCTTAAAATCTGTATTCCACAAACGGCTAAAGTTATTATTATAAAGGTATTCAATTTTTACCGAATATTCATGAATAATAATTACATTTTTAATCTCCTTAGATTCATTTCCTGTGTTAACACAACCAACTTAGGTATTTACTGTATAATTTTAGATTTATGAGGATAGTATTCACCATAAACTGACATCAGTTGGAGAACTATTAGGAACCTAGAAGCGTTTGGAAAATACTGGTCTTAGTAACGGACACCTGAGCAACATGCACTCACAGTTAAGTCAGGGTTCGAACCCAGGGCCTTTACAGTGAACACGTTAGGGTAGTAGTATTCACCACAGACTATCATACTAGGATGAGACAATTGCCCAGGGCTCCCAAGTTTTCAATAATTTCTTCAACCGATACCAGTCCATGGTGAATGCCTACCATGATTGACCACTTATTAATTCCTTTATGAGAATAAAATGGTCTACACAATTGAACTCAAAGAAATTAACCGTTTGTTGACTTAACTGGAGTTCTCTAAATTTATGGAACCATTGTATGTATATACTTTTGCTTTGCAAAATGACTAGTCAAATGTTGAACCGGATGAGAATCCAATAGATATGCATATATACTTTGTCCGGAGTGAAACAAGGTTGCCTGCTATCCTCCATGATATTCCTGATAGTGGTCAACTGGATCATGCAACAAACAGTGGGGAGCAAGAAGAGGGGGATACACTGGCTGGACTGCGGAAAAGAACCTAGAAGACTTGGATTTCGCCAACGATGACTTGTGCCTAATGTCACATAAACTTGAAGATCTGCAGGCAAAAACTAACAAGTTGATAGAAGAGGCAGCTAAGACGGGACTTCAGGTGAATATAGAGAAGACAGAGGTGATGAAGATACCGCACCACCACCATCAACAACAACAACAAACTCCAGTCACCATCAACGGGAGAAACTTAAAGGAAGTAACCTCCTTCACTTATCTAGGAAGCACTGTTTCAACTACAGGCGGCGGCGCCACAGACGACGATGTTAAAGTCGGAATCGGAAAAGCAAGACAGGCGTTCATTAGCCTAAAACCAGTGTGGAGATCTTCTGCACTCCACTCAGCATGTGGAACAATATCCGGATTTTCAACACCAACCCAGTCAAGTCAGTGCTTCTATATGGTTCAGAGACTTGGTGGTGCGTTACGAAAGGGATTTCCAACAAACAACTACAGACATTCATCAACAACTGCTTACGCCTACTCGATACTGGAGATCAGATGGATTGCCAGAAAGAATAAGCAACAAGGAACTTTGGCTGGTGACGAACCAACCAAGAACCTATCACGCAACAAATATGCAGGAAGAAGTGGAGATGGATTGGACATGCACTGAGAAGGCCGACTGAGGACATCACGCGTCAGGCCAGTTGCTCGAGTGGAATCCCCATGGGAAGCGACGAGTTGGGCGTCGGTGCCGAGGGTGACATGGAGGAGGTCGTGCGAGGAGGAAATGAGAGGTTGTGGGCTGTCGTGGAACCAGGTTCAAAAGATCTCAGAGAACAGAGGTCACTGGAGGCGTGCTACTGAAGCCCTATGTTCCACTAGGAACCCAAGGGACTAATAATAATAATATAATAATAATTTTTTTGTCAGATTCTTTCCTATCCAGTTTTTCTCATCCATTAAATATGTATTATCTAAACGTATCATCCACTCTAAAACATTTTTAAAATGTTTTTAAACTGTGGTTTCCAAAGTTAAGAACAAAACGAAAAGAAACTTTTGCGCCAGACAGAAATGGACTTAAAAATACTCAAGAATTCAATATATTTTTATTTCTATGACACATACGTGAATTCTACATTTTTGTACTGGTTTTTTGAACTGCCACCTTAAAACTTACACTAAATTTTGTTTTCCTTCTTTTTGTATACTCTATTTGCCATTTTTTTTTATATACCTCTTTGTGTTATAACTTGTTATTTTCTTGTGGTAACTACTTGATACTAACCTAAGTTATATATATGTGAGGACTTTTAGACAATAACGTTCAGTTTCCATCTTTAATGGTCACTTAGTTACTCAGTAACGGAAAAGGCGGTAATATAACAGATGTAATCACGACGTCAACTTCAACAAATATATAGCAAGTACAAAGATTGCATATATGTATATTTATTACAGTAGCCTTGGCTGTTACCAGGCCTTTCTGGATTTCACTCCTATTAATTTCTCATCTCTTTAATCAGTCTGTTACTTACACGTTGGCTCACGTGTTTTTTTCTATAACTTCAAAACAAAGTGATTGGTTGAAAAAAACTTTAGTAGTTTATAGTTACCTATATAGATTTTGGGTCCAAACCGGGGGTTAATGTAACACCATTAGTGCCTTTAAACCCATTATTAATCCTTACCTGCTTTACTGGTTTACTAGTTTTCTAGCTGGTCTTAAGCCGAGATAAAGGGGATAGGTTGGGAGTGGGGCAATCGTTAAAGAAACTTCAAAGCACAGAGGAAATATTGAAAATAAACTTATTCTTCGATGGAATTGAGGGAAGGAAATGACGCCAGTTGGTAAAAGCATTCGGGAGGTCAACTCGCAGACCAAGAGAAGAAGGAGAAATTCTATAGATAACTGCAATCAGTAAAGGAAAAGACCCCAGACGGCGACGGCGACATCAAAATTCTAATGGGTGACATGATTACCAAACTGGGAGCAGACAACACGGAAACAAAACTCATCATGGGTAGAGAGGCACTTGATGAAATGAGTGAGAATGAAGAACTGTTTGCAGACTTCTACGCATTCAACGAGTTGGTCATTGGAGGCAGCGTGTACAAACACAAGGATATTCATAAAGCGACATGGATTTCACTAGACACCAGGACACACTAAAAATCAGATCAACTTTATCTCAATCTCAAGAAAGTGGAGAAGCAGCCTACTGGACACAAGATCAGATGAAAAAGCGGAGCAGATGTAGGCTCACACCACCAACTATCTAGTACAAGGAACCTTCAAAATCAAGTTGAAAGTCTTCAAACAAGCTACTGATGGACCACAGTTCAAGTTCAAAGTTCAACACCCAGAACAGAAACTGAAGGAAGAAACTAAAAAGGACATCCTCACGTCAGTCACACATCAGCAAAAAATGGGAGACATTAAGCATCATCCCTGAAGAAACCTGTATGGAGGAACACTGCAACTCTTTGAAAGCTATGTGGAAAGAAACCTGCATAACACTATTAGGAAGGAAGAGGAAACAAGACAAAGAATGGATCTCGACGGACACATGAAGCTGATAGGGGAGAGGAGGATGGTGAGTGCGCGCACTTGCAAGTGAAACAGAACACACTGCAGGTAGCAATGATAGAGATCTGACAACATTATATCAAATAACCAGGTTGCTATCTCAGAGAGAAGAGATCAACGCAGATGAAACCAGTGAGAGGGAGTGAGGGGAAGGTATTTAGCAAAGAGGAGAAACAAAGGGAACAATGGGCTGATCACTTCAAAAAATCTCCTGAGTGGTTCACCACCACCTGCAAACCATCCAGAAGTACCACCAACAACGGTAGAAGTACAAGTGAACACAAGCCTTTAGACAAAAGCAGAAGTGAAGTTCTGAAGGCTATAAAGTTAGTGAAAGCCAGGAAAGCAGCAGGATCAGATAGAATTCCTTCAGAAGCATTAAAAATCATTTTAACGCAGGTTGAATTGTCGAAATTAGTAATGTTTGCGAGAATAGACCTCTAAACGCATTTCCTAACACGTTTATAAAACTAAACTGAAATATGCTCTGGTATACTTGTTGACATCAGTCTCTGATGATAGCCAGTTTATTTTATTCCATAAAAGTATGTGAACTTATAGATGTTCATGAAAGTGGTCCACCACTGGACGTTGACTTTAACGCATGTAGACGATAATTTACAAAGGATAAAGATCAAGTAAAGTTTGGCTGTAAACAATACTTATTCATTTAAGAAAAGTCAATCATTAGCTTTAATCACAACATGATAGTGAAATGAACAGAAAATAGACTAATAATTATTGAAATAACCAAAAAATTTCGTAAAATCTTACATTTTATTATGATTGGATAATTGATTTTCTAAATTATTAATGATAAATACACTGATATAGATTTTAAATAATTCTGAAAATGAGTTTTTTGATGTATCACTTGTTAAATGGAGAGAAGTAACAGCTTTTGCATCAGTTATATACGTCTGATTAGAATCAATAACAGTAATACGAGCATATGCACCTTGATTACTGTGTAATATAAAATAATCAAATGATGAAAATAATGTTAACACTTTGCCTGAATGTAAAATACGCCAACCTTCTATACAACATTCATGTGAACGAATTATCATAGAGAAATTGGTTGTAATAAGAAATTTCTCAGTTATATCAGGACCAAAATAACATCCTGCACCACGAAAACTATTCAATCGACATCCATTCTTATCTTGAGGATCACTCCATAATAAATCTAAAATCTAAATATATAAAGAATAAAAATAAGAGTTGGAAGTATTCAAAATGTTATTATTTAATTTGTAAGACTAGAATTATATAAAAAATATAAAAAAAAGAAGCTTAAAAGTTATTATTTTTACATACCTGTTGCCAATCGTCTAAGTTCACACTGTTTTCTCCATCTAAACACGGTTGTAGGATAGAAGAAAGCTTTTGAAATGAATAAGGAAGAAAAAAATGATTCAATATAAGAGTTTATTTCTGATAGATGAAAGTTCTTGTGCTTTCAGTTAATTATATGGTTAAATTTTCTACATCATACAAGCGTATTATCAACCTTCTGGATAGATGATCGTTTTTCAGTAACTCATTGATCTCATTTATCTATCAGAGAAAACAGATGTCAATTACACTTGAATTCTTTTACTACTGTCTTTGTTAGATATTAACTTACGAGTAGCATTGTAGTATTCTTCATATTGAATAATTTAAGCAAATTGAAAGTAAATTTTTAATGATACAATTCATATACGTTTCTATAAATGAATCAAATCCTTTTACCTAGATCTTTAGTGAAATGTTATTAAACTTTCTGATAGCTTTCTAATGCTTATTCTGTTTATCATTTTGACTATCTGAGATAGCCGTAGTTTGGCAGACTAATGAATGATTGAAAGTGAAATGAAAACTTTGTTTAAGCTAAATGTGAAGTAAACAAATGATTAGTTTATTCTCTTACCAACCTGTCATTCTTATACATAGTTACTCTTAGGTTACAGAGAACAACTTAGTGGTTACATCTCTGGTTGTACCAATGCATGATGCTAGTTTAAGTCTCTGAGAAGACACCAGTTCACTCGAAGCTGAAGATATACATTTGTAAACGAATGTCAACCAGCAAGTCTACCTGTAGACTGACTCCAAAACAGCTAAACATCAATCATAGTGCACCACCACAGTGAATCTTCTAGCCTAATGTCTACAATACACTAAAAACTTAAGACTTTTAAACTGAACTACTGTCAAGTGCTTATTGGTAACCTGCTTAGAGATGAGAAGTGACCGATGGAGAAAACTAACTTGGATGTGAAGAAAAATACTTCACTATGACATCAGATAGAGATTATACAGTATCACAAATTGACAATATGGACAGGCATTGGCCTCTGAATTTCAATCCAATGGATCAATCATAACGTGCTCACTAAGAAACCTGAAGGCTACGGGTTCAATCCCTGATGAGGTCATGGGTGTGCACTGCTAAAGAGTTCCACACTGAGACGAAACAGCTGTCCAGTAGTCCTGGGTTTTCAATAATTTTTCAAATACTGATGCCAATTCATGATGAATACCAACTTGAAGTAATTATTGATGTTTACTTTCTTTGGCGGTTGCTTCAACACTACAGAATACCACAAACATTTATCAATCTCACTCAACAACTATGTGAAGACGCCACATATCAAGTAATTCACAATAGGAAGCTGAGTGTTGCTTTTGAAGTGAAAACAGGAGTAAGACAAGGTTGTCTACTATCACCCATGATATTCCTGATTGTGGTCTAGTGGACTGGATCATGCAACAAACAGTGAGGAGTGAGAAGAGGGAGATAAACTGGACCGGGGCAAACATCCTAGAATATTTGGATTTCTCCGATGACTTGTGTCCAATTTCGTACAAACTCGGAGATCTACAGGCAAAAACAAACAAGTTGACAAAAGAGGCGAGGCAGCGAAGACGGGACTTCCTTCATGTGAACGTAGAGAAAACAGAGGTAACGATGATACACAAACAACAACAACAACGAGTACCAATCAACATCAACGAGAGAAACTTAAAGGAAATAGCCTTGTCCACCTATCGAGGCAAGGCAGCATCGTTTCAACTACAGGCGGTGGCACACACGAGGATGTCGAAGCAGTCAAGATCGGAAATACTGCAAGACAGGCGTTCATTAACCTGAAACCAGTGTGGAGATCCTCTGAACTCAGCGCGAAGAGTGAACAAGATCAGGATTTTCTACACTAGTGTCAAGTGAGTCAGTGCTGCTATATGGTTCACAGACTAGATAGCGCGTTACGAATAGCATTTCCGACAAACGACTGCACACATTCATCAACAACTCCCACCTACGCTGGCTCGTCACTGAACCTCAGATGCATTCTCAGAAAGAACAAGCAAGGAGAAATCTTCTGCCACTGCCAACGAACCAACCAACAACTTATCACTCAACAAATATGCAGAAGGAAGTGCAGATGGATTGGGCATACACTGAGAAAACCATTCGGGAACATCACGCTCCAGACACTCGAGTAGAATCCAGATGGGAAGTGGCGAGTTGGGTATCCTAGTTGAGGACGACATAGAGGAAATGGTGTGAGAAAGAAATGAAGGTTTGTGGGGAGTGGTTGAGTGAGGTTGAAAATAGTGCAGAGAAGAGAGTGGAATGAAGGCGTGCTACTGAAGCTGTATGTTCCACTAGGAACTCAAGGGATAAATAATAATAATAATAATACTTTCTTTGAAATAAACAACAGTGTTGTTGAAATAGAAAACTGATTAATGAATAATCTAAACTGCTATAAATCAATTCATTATTTAAATTATCGGGAACAAAAAAATCCTAGTTAAATAAAACAAATCTCACTTTGAATCGATTCAATAACTTCAATTTCTTGATATCTGTATGCTTTGATATACCACCATGACAGACAAATATCTTATCATTAACAATAGCTCCAATCGGTAAAGCACAGAATAATTCATCACAATAATGAATTAAATTCTTTGTATCCTTCTATCAATCAAATAGTAAGAATATATATTAGACAGAATTCTACTGATTCATACTTACTTTGTATCATTAAGTAAATTTTTTTTTTCTGAAAAATACCTGAATGAATATGGTTCAGTGAATTTTATGACTATGTCAAAGATTAGTAATGTTTATCATTTACCAGATGAAGTATATTAACTAATGAATTTTGAATTTTGCGCAGTTTTTCTGTATATAGTTTTTATTATTATTATTATTATTATTATTAGTCCCTTGGGTTCCTAGTGGAACATAGGGCTTCAGTAGCACGTCTCCAGTGACCTCTGTTCTCTGAGATCTTTTGAACCTGGTCCCACGACAGCCCACAACCTCTCATTTCCTCCTCGCACGACCTCCTCCATGTCACCCTCGGCACCGACGTCCAACTCGTCGTTTCCATGGGATCCCACTCGAGCAACTGGCCTGGCGCGTGATGTCCTCAGTCGGCCTTCTCAGTGCATGCCCAATCCATCTTCACTTCCTCCTGCATGTTTGTTGGGTGATAGTTTCTTGGTTGGTTCGTCACCAGCCACAGTTCCTTGTTGCTTATTCTTTCTGGCAATCCATCTGATCTTCAGTATCGAGTGAGCGTAAGCAGTTGTTGATGAATGTCTGTAGTTTATTGGAAATCCCTTTCGTGACGCGCCAAGTCTCTCATCCACCACACAGAGGCACTGACTTGACGTTGGTGTTGAAAATCCGTATCTTGTTCCGCATGCTGAGTGCAGAAGATCTCCACACTGGTTTTAGGCTAATGAACGCCTGTCTTGCTTTTCCGATTCTGACTTTGACGTCTTCGTCCGTCCCGCCTGTAGTTGAAACGGTGCTTCCTAGATAAGTGAAGGAGGTTACTTCCTTTAAGTTTCTCCCGTTGATGGTGACTGGAGTTTGTTGTTGTTGTTGATGGTGGTGGTGCGGTATCTTCATCACCTCTGTCTTCTCTATATTCACCTGAAGTCCCGTCTTAGCTGCCTCTTCTATCAACTTGTTAGTTTTTGCCTGCAGATCTTCAAGTTTATGTGACATTAGGCACAAGTCATCGTTGGCGAAATCCAAGTCTTCTAGGTTCTTTTCCGCCGTCCAGCGTATCCCCCTCTTCTCGTAGGCAGCGAGAAGAGGGGGATATAGTTTTTAGTGTTTACAAATTTATTTGTTAAATATTCATTTATTATTAATTAAACTATCTAAGATAGCCATAGTTTATCAGATTTGTATTATTAATATTGGGTAATAATTGAAGATGAAATGAATATCTCAGTTGTGATAGGACTGAAATCATTAGCCTCTAGGTTGCCTACTCTATCCTCGATTACAAGACCTAACAGCTGCTGACAAGAGCCTAATTTCACTTCAATCAATATGATACTTCTTATATCTCATTCATTTGGTTTTATTAGATTTGGGGCAAGGAAAAGTTCTGACTGAGAAGGCAATGTGAATACAATAATATGTCATGAACTCATATGAAAGTCAGGAAAAAACACTTGGTGAGTAAAGATGATAGCCACTAGTTGGGTCTCATAGCTTAGTTGGTAGGTGATACTACTAACCAGTAGTAAGATAATGAAGCATTGAACCCTTGAAAATACTGATTTTTGTTTATTTCCTTTTAGAAACTGTGAACAGTTATTGCAGTTGTGTAAAAATGCTTATGTCAGCCAGAAAGGAAATACCCTGGATAGTAATTTTCCTGCTTTTGATCACTTTTCTATACAATAACATCCTAACCAGTATGTTATAGCGTTCTACACTACACAGGATTGTAGAAAAGCTATCAGAAATTACCTATCAAGAATATTTTAATGGAAATCACAAGAACAAAGAAGATTCTGATAGGATTATTTGAAAGTTTTGCTATCCTTCAATGAAAAGACCTTCAACGGACTATTCAAACAAGAGTTTGTAGTTTACTTTTGGTTAAATATAACTTACAGGATATTTCTTCGATAGCTCCTTTACAAATCCATATCTGAAACATTGGATAAGAATAAAAGCTCTGATAAAAAACAGACACAAGTAATAAATAGCAATGATTATAAATAATATGCAGATTGTAGTTGCTTCGAGCACTCATTTATTATTTGTCCTGACTGTTGGTTTGAGCTATGTGGGACGATACAGGCTAGGTGGTTAGGGACCACAGGACAAGAGGAACCAGTGGTTGGAGACTCTAGGTGATATGGTTCAGAACCAACGTCAGTGGCGCAGATGTATACACACATTATCCTCATCTTAACAACGCTATACTGAATCTCACTACTTTCTCATTCTTCCTTTCTCTCTTAGAGTACTTTATATTTCTTTTGACTGTATTCTCTTACCTTCATCTTGCGCCTCACTGCCTTTTTACTTGATGTACCGATATGAGGTGTAGCAACTTGGAGTGTTACGCAGTAATGCCTGGTCCTAAGTTGATCTGGATGGATGGATCTGTCCTACGGGTTCCCACTGGAATAAAGAGCTTCACTAGCACATCGCAGTTTCACTCTCTTCTCTACAGTCTCTTCAACCTGGCTCCATGACTACCCACAAGCTTTCAGTTACTCCTCACGCAGTCTCATCCATGTCACCCCCAGCTGCGACGCCCAAGTAGTCGTTTCCCATTTTGATTCCACTCAAGAGTCTGACCTGACGCGTGATGTTCTTAAATGATCTCATTCTATGCTGGAGTTAACTTTACTTTCTTAGGCATAATTGTTGCGCGATAGGCTCTTAGTCGGTTCAGATCTGGCAGCATGTGTTCCTTGTTACATATTCTTATTATTATGACCTACTATCTGATCTTCAGTTTTGAATAAGCGTAGGCGGCAGCTGTTGATGTACGATGTCCTCAACTGTTTGTTGGAAATGTTTTTCGTAATCCACCTTGTTTGTGAACTATTACATAGAAGCACTGATTTAAGTGACATTGGTGTTGAAAATCTGGATCTTGTTCATGTTTTATGCTGAGTGCAGTAGATCTTCACACTGATTTCAGATTAATGAAGGCCTCTCCTACTGTCTTTCCGATCCTGGCTGCTTTGATGTCCTCATCTGCTTCTACTATAAGAATATATGTAAATGTAATCCTAGGGTGGTTAGGTAAACAAAACAAGATTCTCTTCAGTGTTTCGGGGAAAAAGAAGAAGAAGAATTAGCCGTGAAATACACAAAGAAACCTAAAGAGAAATTATGTTTTCATCTCTCAAACACGCTAAGTTTCTATCTAAAACGTATTTTTATCAAATCTTAATCCAGTTTTTAAAAAAAATCATATTAGCCAAGAGACGTCAATCACAATTGTATATGCAACTTAACTAGCCTTTTAAGATAGATAGTAAATGAATAAATAACCAAATAATTATTCTAAAATGTTATTTTAATTATGTATAAGCATACACCTTAAGCTATCCATGAAATCGTTCTTTGTCTCCAGCCTTTTAGCATATAATTAGGAAACCTCAGTAAAGCAAAACAGTTCACAGTATCCCTATATATATATATATATATATATATATATATATATAAACCAGGGTGTGTCCAAACTAATTTTTTAAACAAAAGATTATACTTAATTATTTATACATGGTCATGTAGTTTTATGTCAGAAAACTATGGAATTTTTATCCTAAAACAAATAACACTGAAATCATTAAATACAAAGCGTGAAATAAATAATTGAAAATGATACTTCTCAACTGTAACTCTCTTAAAAAGATACTTTCAATAATTAATAAATTATATTCTATATTCATATATTACTAATGTTTCAAGCAAAGTACAATATTTTTTTTTAGCTTCATGTTGAAATTTATTTCAGTCATTACTTAATTATGAGTTTTACGGAAGATCAACTTGATAAGAAATATATAGAAAAGTAAATTTATGGATGTATAAATCAGAGAATTGTGAAAAATATTATTAGAATGATCAATTTATATTAAACTCTTGTATATTTTAAATGTACCAGTCACCTAGGTAGATTCGGTTGATATAAGTAATTTAACTTTGTGAGCTGAATTTATCTCAGTGTATTACTGATGACCTCGGGACTAAACGAGTGAAACGTCGGCCAAGTGATTAGATCAATCTGATTTGACTGTCGAAATTAACAAGTCAGTGTGAATAGTTTCTAACTATCACTAGGGTATATCGGTTCGAACTTTGTACACAGTTCTTAACAATATACAATGAAAATATAAAAATTCGGATAGAACCAAGTAACTAAACGATAAACATAATTAAGTATTTGGTCTGTTGAACATATTGCACATCTGTTCAATAGGTTTTGATCAGCACTAGGTATTGAGGATTAATCAGCTACATGGGTAACCCGCTCTTGACCAATTAGTCCATATAATCGAGTTCTACAAGGAACCATAGCCTGAATAGCTTATTGGTTAAGTTTCTGGCTTCAGCACTAAGTGGTACAGTCTCAAATCCCTGCTGGAACATCAGCTGCCTTGTATTTGTAGATCCACCTCATTGATAGGCCCTAACAACCATGAAATCTAGGTCGAACTGGATTTCCTACCGACTGATTCACAAGATTGGACAGGTCAGTATTTAAGTTTCCATAGCTTTTGTCCAACCGAATACAGGCGACGTTTGGTAACTTGCCTATTTAGAAGGATGCAGCTTATTTGTACGAAAGACTCAATGGATGATGATATCAAAATACTAACGGGAACATTAGTGGAAAATGGATATCCATTGAAGTCCATAGACTGCTTCAAAACTCAGCAAGGATTCAAACCTAATCTGCACTCTGTTTCGAAGAAATGCCTTTACACCGCGTTACCATACAGAGGAGAATCTAACAGCATAATATTGAAACGAAGGTTAAGTTCTGCTGTTAGCAATACATACTATGCAGCTAAGCTTATCATAGTTGAGAAGACCAAACACCTGCTGCTACCTAGACCTCAACGCTGTATAAACGATTGCGTCAATATTTTCAGTGGAATAAAAAAAATAAATGCCTAATTAATACATATTATACTATTCAGTGTTTGTTTGACAAAATTACTAAAGCAAAAGCATTGGAGACATTGGGACACCTTTTATTCATGGATTTTTTTTACTGACCAATAAAATTTAGATATTGGGGCCTGAATTCATGCAAAAAGCAGTGAGTATTGAGTGTGTCAGGCTTCAAATGTGTACCATAAATGCTTTTCTCAATTTATTTGTAACCTCAGTACTTGAAACATGATAAGTTAAATTGACTCTCAGTTGTTAGAGATTTCGGTTTACATTAATAAGATTGAAGTATAAGTCATCGTAGTGCTTGATTCGAGAATGTGTTAGTTGAAGTTGTCACTCCTTACAACAGCATCGAAGCGAATAATCAAATCGAAAGTGATGAAATCAGAGTGGACAAAATTGTATGAGAGAAGAGAAGGAAAACAAACAAAGGTTGATAAAAAGTCGAAATTTTTGAAGGTGGCAATGAGTTGTATATATATCTGAACTATTGTAGCTAGTCTTAAGCCGTATCATCTGGGGCCTTGAATGATTTATTCATATCTCTGAGGGGACGTCAGCTTGACAGTTTACACCTTTCTATCAAGCTAAAAGTAAGGGAAAAATCATCATCTGAATGCCAAAAGCTTCCTTCAAGCTTCAGCTTAACCTACCTACTGTGCTGTCTTAAGGTAGGTGGTAAGTTGCTGTGTGTAACCTATGTCCATTATCTCAGGTCAGTGCAAATTCAAATCTTACTGACTTGCTTGTATTCCTTTCCCATTATTCTACACCTAACCTCAGTCTTACTCGTATGGTGGCTCCACGACGCATGAGCAATTCTAAGAAAACAGCTGTAGATAAAAACCTGTAATCTCCTCATGCTTTCTGCTTTTAACGGTCGCGTCCCACAGCTGTACAGTAGAAAACAGCCGATGACTATGCAGCATACTCATATTTCGATAGATGGTCATATACCTCTCAGGCTCTATAGCTGATGAAAACTGGCAAACTCCAAACGAGTGTCTTCATGCAACCTAAGATTCCATCAGCAACCAGCCCCCTAGAGTTGATACAATACACTCCACCACCCAATTCCCTACCCTTAAACCAGGAGTTGATCCAGATCAACCATGAGGCATCATCTTATGTCTCATAGGTCTAAAACGCATGTAAAACAAACTCAGATTTCTGCTCAAAGGTTTAAAAAGATCCTGTAATTTGTCGGTACTTTCTTTTGATAGCAGAATGTTATCTGTGTACTCTAGACCAGTCACGAGTCCTACGGAAACTAAATCAATTCCTCACTTTAACTGAGTAGGGTTGTATTTATCGATATACACATGACAAAGTTGAGTAAGAGTGTTAACACTGGTCATTTTCGATAGATAATGAAGGTTTTCGCTAGGTCAAACGATAAGCTTCTGTAAGCTCTTACACAGCCTCGTAAATTCAGGCAAAGAGCCCTTTTTCTTGCACAAAATTGTTCACTACAACTCTCCTAAATTATCTGGCTGCCGTTTGAGAAACAAATTAATCCGTAAAACACTGACCACATCCCAACTAGGAATTGGGCAACAAGATACCAGAGTTACAGACCGACTACTTATGTAATATAGGTTAGCTTGTTTGTTTAATATAGCACAGAATAATACTTTAATATTTATTTTGATGATGATTAGGAGGCAGGTCATTCTTCATAATTATGTCATGCGTACATAGACAACCTTCAGACTTCATCCTCGTATGTGCAGAGGTTCTAACCTTCATTTTCAGTAAAAACATATCAATCCGAAATTCCATGAAAGGTTATTAATATTTCGTTCAGTTATGTTAAATATTAAACTAGTTATGCTGATGTCTGCTTACTGATTATCAGCTGAATTCAAGAAGTGCTTTTCGCCTTGGTTTGAACTCGTCAACTAGATGTACCTGAACTCTAGTGAGTGATGTTATCCCCAGTGAGAATCAAACTCAGTAACTATCGCTTCAATTCAATTAGCAAAGATTAGTTCCAAAAAAGTGTTTGGACATCACTTACTCATATCATTGGCTCTAAGCTTGATTCCGCAGAAGCTAATTAGTGTGAATTTTAAACTTGAATAAGACAGTTATTCAAAAGTGTTTGGTTTTGAATGTTTTCTTAGCTATAGTCAATTCATGATTTGAACTCCACTGAAACTCAACAGTTATTATATTGATTGTTCACGTGAGTACAACCGATTTCATGTTGTCTGATCCTTAGAGCAGATTGAATCCTATCAATCATATTTGCAATGTGGGTACCAAGCTATGAGGCTCAGCATCGTGTAGCATATTAGTAGGTGCTAGTTGGCTGCAGGCAGTAGATAGGAAGCCCTGGACCTGGGTTTCGTGCTTTTTGGTACTCGTCAACAAGGCGTATCTACAACGTAGACGGAACTAATGTCCCGCCTGAAATTCGATCCGGCTTTATCCAATGTTGTAGTCGGCAACTTTACCACTGAACTATTTGGGGCGTGGTTGACCTCCTGTAGGTCTCTTTTGGATGTATTGATTGATCACGGGAGAGCAACCAGTTTCATATTGTCAAGTTTTAGTCTAAGCAATCGCAGCCCGAACAGCCTAGTGGTAAAGTCGTAGAATACAACACTGGATGACGCCGAAGTTACAGATATGCTTTAATGATGAGAACCAACAAGCATAAAACCTAGGTCTAGAGCCTCCTGGCAACTGCCTCTAGTCAACTATCATTAGTTATTCTCAACTAGCCTCTCAACTGAATAAATATTACGGAATTAATCTTTTCGTCCAACTAACTTTATTGCATTGAAAAATTTCATATTACTTCATCTCATAATTTTTTTTGTTATCTTAATCTGGTCTACTCTTATTTAGTAAGCTAAATTTTTATGGTTAGATAAACTGAATAATTCAGCGAAGAAAATTTTCAAAATCGACGATATAATTTTCTAAAGCTGTACAATCGTACTTATCTTCACCTTCTTTACACCTCTTTCAAGTGGACACTCAATATTTGCGTTCCTCATCTACCAACAATTTTCACCTTGTCAAACTTCTCGCCTTCCTCGATATTTCTACTGTCTTAGATTATTACGCAACTACTTTGCAATCTTGATTCGGTTTTTCGTAGCACTTGGTTAGTGATGTAATTATACCCTATTGTTTTATAATGGACTGTTATATGTGTAATATATATAAATACGATTGTACAGCATTAGAAAATGATATCGTCGAAAAAGAAAATTTTCTTCGCTGAATTATCTCTTCTCTAAAACTGAATAATTTTAGTCTTTTATCGAAATATAAGTACTTGACTTCAGAAAGACTGAATTATTATTTTAAAAGTAATTTCACTGCCAATAAGTTCATAACATCTTAATGGAGAGAAAAACCAAAACTTTAGCAATATTGCTATATAAAGACTGAATATTAAAAATCCCGAGTAGAAGTATTCATGAGACTCGTATGAAAGTGGTAGCTGAAATGTAAATAATAATACCAATAATAGTATATCTAGAAGTAGTATTCATCATGGACTGAAATCAGTTGGGGAACCATTGAAAATATGGGGACACTGGACAGCTGTTTCATCCTAGTATGGAAACCCTCAGCAATACGCAACCCCCCCCCCACCCAGCTAGAGACCGAACTCACCACCTTCAAGTTTCACGGAGAACGCGTTAACCATTCAGCCACTGGGTCGGTTTTCGATGGTTCAAAATTTCCAACTTCTGTCAATTCAAGATGATATAGCGTGACTATCACCCAAGGTCTTCAGTTAGAATCCGCTTCCAGATGGATATCACGAAGCTCTAATGAGAAGTCGTGACCTGTTGCGTCAACCAGTCGGAAGTGAAGTGGATGCTAAGTTAAAATATATATGTACAATTAAGTTTTTCAATCTGTCAGTGGTGCACCACTGATTATACTGACAGCCTAAAATATTCTACGCGAAACAACATGGTGTTTACACTGGAGCACAGAAAAGAATAAGGAAGGATAATAAATACGAATGGACAAAATACAGGAATTAAGGAAATAACAGGGTAAAGGCGGAGTTATGCCAAACAGTCTGAGTTTCTACACATAAAAGGGAAAGGGAAAGATTTTCCTCAGAATTTGCAGAATATGTGGGAACCAAGAAAGATTAGAAGAAAAGCATAAGCCAAAATGGATGACATTTGATATATTCTCTGCTGAAGAGCTGTTAGTACAATAAGAGTCGTATGATTTACGCAGTATTCATCATGGATTTATATCAGTCAGGGAACCATTGTAAGTATGAGAGCATTGGACAGGTGTTTCATCCTAGTATGGGACTTCTCAGCAGTACGCACCCATGACCTGGCTAGGGGTCGAACTCACGACCCTCAGATTCCACGGCCAACGCTCTAACCATTCAGCCATTGGGTCGGTTGCCAGTGGTTCACAATTTCTAACTTCTGTTAATTGACGACATAGCGCGACTGTCACCCAAGGTGTTCAGTTAGCATCCACTTCACTTCCGACTGGTTGACCCCACAGGTCACGGCTTCTCATTAGAACTTCCTAACATCCATCTGGAAGCAGGTCTTATTCACGCCCTAAACTGAAACTAACTATATGACACTTGGAGGGGTTGAGGCCACTGAAGGAAGACCAGTGACTGATTTCCACTAGAAAATCATTAAACTCAGAACAATCTGAAAAGGAAATGACTGGCATGAATACTGTTAGATCATTCGCATATTTAATATAACTGGCTTCAGCTGAGGTGGGTAAGTCATCCAAAGGGAAAGCGAAGAAAAAAGAAAGGATAACAACTTGAAGCCCACCGGCTTCACTAAGTAGTGAGGTAGAGCACTTCCCTCTGCCTACAGTCTACTATCTTCTCTTGCTTGCTTAATAAAAGCGGTCTAGTAACAGAACTAACGGCAGAATTATCATCTAGTGAGGTAGATCTAGCCCCTGTAACAGCCCTTCAACCACAAGTAGTAACCGATTTTCACTGCTTTTAGGAATGGTGAGGTTACTGCGATCGGTTGAGATTTCACATATACTCCGGTAGATATGCATTTGACTACCGGAACTATTATAGTTTCTCTCCAAAACGTTGGTATATCGTTCTTGGTAAACAACTCCCCAATAATATTTTTGAATGAATCCCATTGCATATCAGCACATTTGCTAAACAGAATATTCAGCATATGTAGGTTTTAATGATTTTTCTCTTATATGCGAAGAACTTGATAAGATAAAGTTGGTAAGTTTGCTTAGGGATGACTAGTTTAGTGTAGAGACGTTTTCATATGCTTCATTTCTGAGTCTCCTTTGCCAGTAAGAATTATTAAAAGTTTCCAAATACAAAAAAGGTTTTACATAGCTTTGGCGTTTTATCTTAGATTTAATTAAGTAGTTAAATGGTTTGAAATCAGTACAGTTTTCCTTTTTCTCTTTACAATCTTTTTAATTGTGGAGAAGAATGTCTATCAAACCTTAGGAAAAGTATTTCAGCTAGATAGCAAATATGAAAGTAAAATTTAAGATAAAATGTTACAGCGTTGATACTCTCGTTTAATGTACTACTTTCAAATATGTCCTATTCGGTGTTTTGTTTATGTTGTTGTATGTATAGCCTTCTTTGATTAGTATGAAAAAGTAGTTTTCTATAGTCTACCGTATGCTTCTAGCAGAATACATAACATACATTGACCTGAATTTAATTATAGTGTTCGCTTCCAAGTTCATTAAAGAAGATCAAACTTAATATGGCACCAAGAAAAGTTTAAAAATTGACTAGTTTTCTATGAGAAAGATAACTCAGAAATTTATGGTCATAAGAGTTAACAACCCCTATAGATTACAGACACTGAACTACAAATTATGGGAGCTGAAATATGGATTAGTTTCAAAAAATAATTGCAGACTTCGGATTTGTATCATACTATGATTCAAGTTCTCTTAAATACCTTACTTTATCTTCTTTAACACAAAACAATGAACAGAATTTAAGTATACTTTAGAAGGGAAATACAAGCTTAATCTCTCTTTCTCTGATATTGGGTGATGATTGAAAGTGAAATGAAGATTTTGGCCACGGTGGGATTTAAACCACTGACTACTAGGTTTTCAGCCAGGTGCTATATCAACTTAGCTATGACAATCGACTGATGATTAGAGTTTTATTTCATTTCAATCACCAAAGATTTTATCTGACTATCATGTGAATTTGTGATGCCCATCTATTGCTTAAGTGTACACATTCTGATTGTTCAGTCATGACCTTTAATCCCAATCCCAATCTACTTGGATTAGAGACGGGAAGATGGCTATCTCAGCTAGTCAATGCAAATAATATACCATTAATTTTTATAGAAAAAATTACCTTTCATTCATTACAATATCTTCATGATTTCCTCGATTAAGAAATATATCATTCGGATAAGTTAAGAGAGCCATTAATAATAAACTTAAAACTTCAACAGATTTAACTCCTCGATCCACAAAATCACCATTGAATAAAATACGATTTCGACAGTTTGGTAAACCAGTCTAAAAATTTAAGTTAAAACAAATTTATTAAAATTTATAAACATATTAGTACTTGAAAGTGAACTAATGATACAGTTTGTAGTTCTCAATAGATGATTGAATTGAATCGACAAGTTATTATTGACTCATTTGCCTTCTAGACAACATTTAGTCACATGAAGTGATAGACGTTGGATAAGAGTTTCAGTGTTAATAACACCACTGATTAGGATCCAGGCTCCCACTTAACAGTCGTCCATTTTTAGTAAACAACTGATTTCTTTGTAATTATCCAGTTACTAGAACTCTCATGGAGTAGAGTAACCAGAGTTAACCAATATCCTCAATAATGGAGTTGTTAACCACTTTACACTGTATTGTGGACAGCCATCATGGGTAGTCTTAAGAGATGTATTTGAATAAAACATTCTTTGTGAGGTCTATATAACCAGTTCCATAAGAGCAGGTGAATTGGTAAATGCACATGGAGATCGTTCAAAGAGGATAAACTACTGCTAAAGGGTCACCTTAATGTGTGTTTACTAATTCACCTGCTCTTGTGAAGCTGGTTACATAGATCGCACAAAGTGTGTTCTATCCTAGTGCATCTTCTAACACTATCCTGAATGGCTTTCTAAAAGAGAGTGCAAACCGACTAGCAGCTCGACTCCAGTTACAACTAATAATCTAATTAATGCCCTACATGTGTATATGAGTGCGATATTGTCAACATCTCTGTCATGAGAGGTTTATTGCTACAGTTATTTATTTACACTTTCTAAAGTTGCCATTCTTTGACCGTTGTTTGTTCTTTCAAATCCTATCAACGTTCAGAATAATTACAAACAGATTGTTAATATGGCATAAACTATATACCACAATCCAATCTAATTTTACACTCAATCCCTACTAAACATAATTTAAAAAGAAACCGGATTAGTCGAGAAGATTTAGTACACCATATCAACTTCATTTATATATCTATGATGCTTTCACTTCGAATATTTCTCCGAGGAGACTCTAACTGGAATTCCTAAAAGAGTCATGACGTGTACGCTAAGAATAGTGCAAGCTGAACTCAACAGCTTAATATATATTTTGAAAAATGAATCAAAATTCCGTCAGTTGACCTATTGAATATTTCAATTTATCGTCTTTTTTCCGATTCATGATCTGAATAATATTTAGATGCACACACCATTTATTTACATTAAGGGATTACTTGCTTTTGGTTAAACTTCACAGTTTCTAAATAAGTTCACCTACTGTAAGAGGTTGTCTACCAGGATTACGAAGCATATGCCAAATATTCTACATCTCAGAGGTCCAGTCTCGTTCAGTTCAGTAGCGCAATAGCTTGTCATTTACGTGATAGGAAACATCAAGTAGGTGCACGATGAAATTCTTCATAGCAGTCAACAGAAAAAAGACTTCGCGTCTATTTCAAAATGCTGAAGCCGTCACTACTCGACAAGTTCAACCGGAACTGTATCTTTAAACGAAGACAGTTACCAATTTTATTATTATCCTGATAATTAGTGACTTTTCATCCTCTCATCCTTCCCAAAATATTTCGCATACATTTATTTTACGATTATTTTCATCTCACCCACTTGTCATTTTGTTAATAATACTATTTTCATATGATTATGCAAATCTTGGTTGTATTGTGTTGTCTGACCTGGGTTGTTTAATCGTGAAGCTTTCATCGCCTTGTTAGACGACATCATCAGCACTAACTTCAGTAAGAAGTGGACATACTGAAGTTAGTGCTGATGATGTCGTCTAAAAAGGCGATGAAAGCTTCAAGATTAAACAACCCAGCTCAGACAACACAATACAACCAAGACCATCCACCTGAGCTATAAATATTCCCCATTATTATGCAAATCCCTTCTCGAGACTTGCTCGTGAACATTCCTCACCTTGGCTTATTTATTACTTGAACTTGTTTTGTGTCCACTTCTTTAAACATTAGCCGATATCTTACAACCCTCTATTTAAGGTATGTTTATAATTGTCATAATGATGATTTACTTACTAATGCAGGTTGTATACAGCTAAAGAAAGTCTCATAGAAAAATGACGTCATTTTACCCTGCAAAAAATGCCCTGAAAGTGTTATTCAACTTCATAAAAGCGACTAAACGTATGATAATATAAGCATTATAATGGAAAATGGGAAATGCATTAAATCAACCGTTAAACAGAAATATGTTGAATATTATATTACACAGATTTCAGCACTGTTTAGTAGTCTCCGTATTTCCCTTGCGATGAACAGAGGTCAACTTCAAGTCTGATTTCAAACAGTATGTTTCATTTGCGAACGCTAGAGTAAAACCTGGGCATTATGATAGTGTATAACTCTGTGTTAATTTGTTTGCTGAATATATTGCACAGCGAAATTGTGTTAATTACTCGATGACTTTTTGAACTAGTTGATCTATGCAAGTAGAAGTTACAGACCACATCAAAAATGATTGACACAACAAATCAAATCTAAAGTTCCTACTGACTCAGATAAAAGATGTTCAACTTTGTCTTTGCCTCAATATCCCATTGAAAGGGTTCACATGGCTCATTTACATACTCCTTTTGAATCCATTTACAGAACCGGCTGAGGACATAAACTTCAGTTTGTTGAAGCCTTAGTTATAATCAAGTTCAGATCTATTTTATGCATTCAAAAACAACTTGTTGTTAGATCAAACCTCAATTGGTAGGTAGCTTATCTTCTAGTCTAAACTAGCATTTCCATGCTATAATATATGGATTATTTATAGAGCTAACCTTTCCTCTAAAATACTTGAGAATATTTATAGCTCAAGTAGATGGTCTTGGTTGTATTATGTTCTCTGAGCTGGGTTGTTTAATCTTGAAGCTTTCATCATCTTTCTAAACAGCGACATCTTCACCACTAACTTCAGTATGAAGTGAGCTGTCAATATCTCTCCGTGAGTGATTTAGTAGCTTGCCCTGACCAACTAGTTTGTGACTGGTTATTTCGTTTAACTGTTTTGTCATTGACTGCATACATTTTCCTGCTGGCTGTTCTTCTGCTTGACCTCTCATCTTTCTGTCGTTTATCATTTTTCTTATTGGTTGGTAGATTGAGTCTATGTCTATATATCTATTGATTGCTGACTAAGTGACCTGAATGCCAGGCTTCTAGAAATTCTCTAATATTCTTTATGTTTCCTCTCTCCCTCCAAAATTTCTACATTGTCGAAATTGAATTCATGTCCATAGTTGTTATCCATGTGCATTGAAATGAGTGATGAAATGTCGTGGCGTTTAATAGCCAATTGGTGTTCATGTAAACGAAGGAGAAGAGGTCGGCCACTACAGTTATTGAAGCTGATTTTGTAAATGATATTCGGTTTGCCTTCTTTCGTTGTTGCATCCTTTGGTCTGCATAATAGTGTTTGAAGGGAATTTGTTGGTTTATGAGCCACACCGACTCCATCAAGTGGTTTCAGTAGTCTTGTCTTGATTTCTGATATATTCTTTATGTATGGTAGCATGATGTGTTTGTTGATCTCTGTCGATGACTTTGTAGTTGATGATGTACGGGATAGGCATCTTCTGATAAAGTTTCATGTGTAGCTGTTCTTCTTTAGGATAGACATAAAGTAATTTTCTTCGTTTCCCCAGGAAGTTGTTGTACTGCAGTGTGTTCTCACTCTTTTGAAAAGAGTCTGGATGCAACTGGTTTTCCTCTTTGTTGGGTTGTTTCTACTGTAGTTGAGGATTTGATCAGTGTATGGTGGCTTCCTGCACACTTGGGTCTCCAGCTTCCCGACCCTTGTCCAATTTTGCCAACTTACTAAAACAACCACTAACAAAAATGGAAAAATTTCTCCTTAAGAAAGGACTGAATTACAATATAAGAGATATCTCTAAACCGGAACTCTTTGCTACATTAGAATCGTCACGTAAAACATCAGGATCAAATGAGGCCACTCAACAATAATTACGGTAAACAGGAAAATGTATACAGTCAATGACACAACAGTTAAACGAAATAACCAGTCACAAACTAGTTGGTCAAGGCAAGCTACTAAATCACTCACGGAGAGATATTGACAGCTCACTTCATACTGAAGTTAGTGGTGAAGATGTCGCTGTCTAGAAAGATGATGAAAGCTTCAAGATTAAACAACCCAGCTCAGAGAACTCAATACAACCGAGATTATTCTTCCTTTGTTAGTCACCTAGGGTACTCATCATCATAGTGAACTTTTGTTTCTCATATTATACGGTTGGTGGCATTTCGTACGGTGTTCAGTATTAGTCTTCATTTTTTCTGACTTTTACTAGCAAGGTATACGTGTAACAATAAAGACTAGACTGTAAACTTGAAGATTCACCTCTGAAACATCGAATTTTACAAGTAATAATATGCTACCGACCTCATTATTTAATTCACTACTCATCATTATCTATAACGGGAGCTTTGCTTGTCTAGTTGTCGAAAAAAGTAGTATAGTTCAGTCTTAAATATGATTACTTCACTATCAGAAATAATACTACTGATCAATACTACTTAAACAAAGAAGTTGACCTATATTTAACACAACCACACATGTAAACCGAATAACTATGTATACAATGACAGTAGTGAGATAACATAAATCATTAAATGTATAAAACTAGAATGGGCGTATCTCAGTAACACTGCCTCATTATGCTATATAGCTCCATTTTAATATAACTCAAGTTAGTATACATTCGAAAGTGAGTTGAAAATCGATTCCGCTGTGTTGTATTGAATTGTCTATTTACTCATTTCGATAAATAAGTAAAAATTGAAAAGAAACAAACTTACTTCTTCAAAAATCTTTGTAGCTGCTAATAAATTACCATGGAGATCACCACATATTGTTAAATATTGTTCTTTTTCCAATGAAATTTCTGTAAGATTCGCTTGTTGACGTAAAATTTCTACAGCTTTATTAAGTATTAAGATGAAGAAGTTGACAGGAATTTTCTGTAAATATTAGAAAATGAATACATAGAAAATAATTCAGTTTAAAGGTTTCTACGGATTTATTGGTTGATTTCAAAGTGGTATTCATTACAACTTGACATCCATTGGAGAATTATTTAAAACTTAGAAATACTGGACTTTTGTTTCAGTCTAATATGGAAGTCATTACCTATGAGTACCCATGACCCCGTCAAAGATTGAATCCATGAATTTCACGTCTCCAAATGATCATGTTACCACTGATTCACTGTACCACTATCCAGTGATACACACATATCTACCTTTGTCTGTTCGCGATATATCACAACCATCAAATCTTTGCAAGGATACAAAAGGCTCAACTGGCTTTTGCCAGCTTGCATCACCTATGGCGCCACCGTGATATCCAATTGTCTATTAAGGGTTGCGTGTACTGCACATCAGCCTGGTCTGTTCTACTCTATGGTTGTGAAACATGGCCATTGAAGGTGGAAGACATGAAAAGGCTTAAGGTGTTTGATCACCACCGCCTTCGTAGTATAAGCCGTATTCCGTAGTGTCATCATGTGAGTAACGCAGAAGTCAGGCTGAGGCGTAGAGTTTTAGGGAGTAGAGGTAAGTCGGTTGACAGGGTTGTAAGCCTTCATGGAGTGAGGTGGTTGGGACATGTGTTACGTGTACTCAGTCACCGATTGCCTTGTCACACAATGTTGGCCGAAGTAGTTCCAAGCTGGATAAAGGCTCGAGGTAACCAGACTAAAACATAGCACCAATGCATGAAGTCTTTGACTGTTGATTTGAGCCATGTGGGACGATACAGGCTAGGTGGTTGGGGTCCGCGAGGCAAGACGAACCAGTGGTTGGAGACTCTAGGTGATATGGTTCAGAACCAACGTCAGTGGCGCAGATGTATACACACATTATCCTCATCTTAACGACGCTATACAGAATCTCACCACTTTCTTATTCTTCCTTTCTCTCTTAGAGTACTTTACATTTCTTTTGACTGCATTCTCTTATCTTCATCTTGCGCCGCACTGCCTTTTTACTTGATTTACTGATATGAGGTGTGGCAACTTGGAGTGTTACGCAGTAATGCCCGGTCCTATGTTGATATTGATTGATTGATTGATTGGTTATCATAACCATCATCTGATGCTATTGTTGAATATTTGACCTCACATTCGACTTGGTTGTCTCCACGGGTTATGACTTCTCATTCAAACCTCAGGCAGTCTCATCTAGAAGTATGTCATTAATGGGTAGTGGATTTTAAGTAAGCACTTCTAAGGATAAAACGGCTGTTCAGTGCTTTTAGATTTTCATTGGTTCTCCAACTGATTTCATTCCATGGTGAAGACTAACCAGGGATCTAGACATTATTGAAAGATGACTAGTTTTATGTCAAACATTCAAAGCTTTAACTTAAAAATGCTGAATTTGTATATATGCAGGCAAATATGTATGAAACTGTTGTATTTGTTTATACGCTATGATAAATGAAGGCGAAATAAAAGTCCGCGTCATGGTACGATTCGAACTAGTAACATCAGGATCCCTGATTCACTGCTGTACCAACTGTGCATAATTTCACTCTAGTACCTTAGAGCTTTGCGTAATGCATAACTGTTCACTCATTGTTATCACGATATCTTCACAACCAGGACTTCTGATTTAAATCGAAACCAAGGTGAATTAGGGAACAGAAGCGTTGTAGTGATTCTTCATAGGATTATCTGAGATGCTCATGGTTTAACTACTTTCGTAGCTTAAGTTTCTACTTCACCTTTAACCATCATATTGTATTAATCATACCGGTCTACCAGACTATGTCTACTTCAGATGGTAGCAATATCAATCATATTTATAATTTTAAGCTTTGAGTACTCTAGTGAAAGTGCTGTCCTAGTTGAGTATCATTATTTGTTGTTATATCAGTTAACTTTGGTGTAACTTTTTAGTGCACACAAAGATATGTATCAGTGTGTATACCAAATGCTTAATGCTAATCTACCCTGGAGCACATAAACAGAAACCATAGCGCATTTAACATGAAACGAGAAAAGTTATTAGAAAGAAAGAAACAGACTGTGTAAATGAAAGTGGATCGACAAGTAACACTTACTAGTATTTAGGAGATAAAAAATGATAAACTTTTATTAAGCTTTCTATAGTTTGTTGCATCTTTTTTACTCTGAAGTCATACATTCCCTTCACTCCTCAACATGACTAAGAACAATAACCAGTGAACGAGTAGCACGCGATGGTTCTCTAAATTTCTACTTAAGCAGTTAACACACTCCTTAATCGGCTTAAGTAAACTTCATCATTGACTAAGTTGCTTTCTTTAGCCAAAAATACAAACCCAGCCACATTCTTGTTCATTTACTCCACATAAGAGAACAAACTTAAGCATATTCATAAAATAGGATGGTCAACTTGGAAATGATTTACAAATCGTACAGTCCATGTTGACACCTCACAGCTGAGTAGTCTTTCAACTGTTCAACTGTGGTAACAACAAGGTTCCCACCGGAAACCAATCAACTGAGATCATAAGGTTCGATCTCTACCACAAAAGTCTCATAAAATACCGAAAGATACAACTAATGAACAACTTCCGTAGTTTTAGATAATAGTAGTAGTAAGATAGTCAGCTAGTCAGCTAGTCCGATTAAGGCGATCTGAACTAATTTGGTTTCACAAGCTGAATTTGTCTTGGTATACCGCTGATTATCTTGACCCCAAACGAGTAAGATAGTTGTTGGGTGTTTATATCACTCTGGCTGGTGAAATATTACACGTCATCCTGCATGATTTCTAACTACTTAATTTGTTTACTAGTAGTATCTTAAAGACATTCCTTTTTTAGAAATTCAAGAAATGTTATTATGCATAACAAAGAACACTACACTGTAAGTAGCAGATTTATTGGGGACAGTAGTTCAAATCCGCCCAAAAAAATATTTAGCCAAAGTATACACCACATCATCATAAATACCTTAGTAACACTACTCTCCACAAAGGATTCCAAAATATTCACCTACACTTTAACATTTTATTCAGTATGAAGAAAAGTAAACCAAGTATGCCTGCCTACTTTTTAATATACGAGATGTAAAAATTTTTGGGTTAAAGCTTATTCGAAGCAGTAATCATTAAGTGTATCAAAAGTCAGTCACATCTACACCGAAGTTTATATGAAAGTTATACTAACTCAAGTAGTCATAATGCACAAAAGCAGAAATGGGAAGTTTCTATTTGAAAGAAGCTCAATCAACACTTTTGGACGAGGATAAAATGGATTTATTTTATTTCGGTGATATCTTGTCAACTCAATACAATTCATAATATCAAAACTCTATATAACCTAATTCACTGGAAGCAAACTGAACTTGGGTGAGTAGTTAAGACAGACAATGTAGTGGTAAATCGTAAAGATAAATCAAAAGAGGGCCATTCCATTGTTATAATCACATACAGAATGGTATTGAAAATTCTCAAAGAAACAAATGACATCAGTAGCAACCAGAATATTGAAGGGTTTAAAAGTATAAGATGAAGTAACTATACGTCATTTGAGGTGGCTCTCGTGCCTCAGTGACATAGTAGACAACATGCTTCGGTGTTTTGTAGCGATAGGTAAGAGGTTCAGTTAACGTTAAAGTCCCAGTGGGAATAACATCATTCACTGGGGTACAGGTACGTTCAGCTGACGAGTCTTAAATAGGAAGAAACGCATGTCCTGGATTCCATTTGGTAGCTAACATACAAACAGGCAAGAATAAACATCTAAATATCATAAAAGACAATCGTATTTAAATAATGTTAAGACAAAAAGAGGTTGGTTGCTGTTTTTTTCATTTTTCCTTCGAAAAACTTCATTTGTATTATGTATATAACTGTGATAGTTTACTAACTGACTTTCCTTGGATTCACCAGTGTGAATAATCAATATGCTGTGGCTACTCTTGTCAGTCTGAAATATTGACCAATGTTCTATTTTCTTCCATTGATGTACACTATGTTAAATTTTCAATAAAATCATATATTTCGATATTATGAGTTATACAGAGTTGATAAGATCTCATCGTAGTAAAATGGATCCACTTAATTTTACTCTAACTCTTGTACTTACTCATGCATGCATGCATGACATTTTTTCATTCACAGGAAAGATATTAGCCGAAGAGAAACAAATACTCAGAGTTTAGAGAGATGTAAATGTGACTGACTGACTGACTGGACTGACAAAATCAACATAGAACCTTGTACACAAGTTCATCAACTCAATTTACCATAGTTCACGGTAGGAATACATATTTACCATTAAGTTTTGAAGTATATCAAATGCACAGTCAAATAACTAATATTTGTGCAGAGAATTCTAGGTGATAGGTAAACCATATAGGATGAACATACCTTATCCGACTTTATCCAAGCAAGGAAGGATAGAAAATCTTCTTCAGGTACTGGAAAGTTTAAGGTGTCAAAGTTGAAGTTGAAATCGCTAACAAATGAAAGTTCTCTACTCAATAAAAATTTATTTGATGCTAAAATTAAGCAACAAAAAAAAGTAACCCAAATATTTTCAAGTTTAAAATGTAACTAAGAGATAAGTAAATAAAAAGGTTATTCAAATTGTATATCGGCTTGATGATTATTCAATATAATGTTTTTCAGTTGTTTTCATCATGGAATGATATCAAATGTAAATCCATTGAAAACCCGGCAGCAGTGGACAATCGAAATCTTTCAAACTGAAAAGTTATCTAGTACTCAATTGTGACATGATTCAGTACCAATAGTCATAGTCTGTAGACTCAACCAAGTTTGGTGTAAGGATAAACACTCAACGATGAAATCGGATAATTGTTGCGCAATATCACGAGTAAACAGAATCACGAATATATGCTCCACTTAACTCTGATCCAACGGCTCAATGTTAGCTTGCTCACTATAGAACACAGGATCCTGGATTTAATCAAGATAATGTCATGGTTGCGAACTACTGAGGAGTTTCATTCTAGAATGAAACAGGTGTTAAGTGTTCTTAAGTTCTCAATGGTTCTCCAAATGATATCATTCCATGATAAATACTTTGAAGACTGATTGATTGATTTGAAAAAACCGTAATGTATTCAAGCGAATATTATCATTATATTTATTTAGTGTTGGTTAAATAAGCTTTCCATTGGTCATACATAGCCATAGGTTACAAAGTGGCTGTATTCATATTTTTCTGAAAAGAAACAGTATGTTATCAATAAAAGGAGATACTCTACTTCATTTTTTACTGAAGCTGGTATGCTTCAATGTGCTGTAATTTCTCCTCTCCTCTTCTGTTTTCATCTCTTTTGCATGATTTACATTATTCTGCTGAAACTAAGTATGCTGATGATCTGGTGCTGTCTATTTTCAGTTAACTCTTATTTAGATTGTTCTCAATTAAGTGAATTTTTGTCTCTAGTTGACCAATGGTCTCAAGTTAAACCCTTCACTAAATGTCAGACTGTTAATTTTAGCCTTAGGCGTAGACAAGATTTGTGTAAGTTGCTCAAATCTCATGACACCTGTTGCAGTATTGATGGTATTTCTGCAGAAAGTAAATTGAGTATTAACTATCTTGGATTGAGTTTTACTCCTAATCTTTGTTGGTCGTCTCATATCTTGTTGACTTGTAAAAAAAAGTCTCTCGTTTAATGTATTGCATAAAGAAACCGAGACTCTCTAGTATAACTCAACCTCAACTTTTACAATTTATTAATTCCTGCATTTTGTACCCCGTTGGTCTCTCGTGATCTTCTAAAAAAAGGGCTATGTTATACTGCGTAGGGCTATAAAAGCCGTCAGTAAGTTGAGTGATGTACCTATGGCTTAAATGATTAACATTGTAGTTGATAGACATTTAAATTTCAGCAAGCAACTAGCTACAGTAATTTTAACTAACACTGATCATCCACTTTATTCAAACCTCTTCTTATGTATCTTTTCAGAAGGGACAAGAAGAAATTACATTAAACTGTACACTGGTAAAGTAAAGTATCAGAATTCGACTATACCTAGTACGCATATTATGTGAAGGAAAAGGTGTTAGAACAGAACTCACATATCAACTTTGTAACAGTTAACAATCTTATTCCAATAAGTTAATTAACCATGTTAAATTTTCTCGCTTTTAATATTCTGTACATTACTTAAATTTTTATAATAACACTATTGAAAATATTTCAAGTTGTTATTCATCGAAGACTGACATCAGTTGGAGGAACAAAGGAAACCTGGGAGCACTGGACAGCTGTTTCGTCTTAGTATGGGACGAGTGTATATACATACACATGTTTTGTTGGTGTTGAAATATATCATGCTAAGAATTCCAAGTTGTACCAAAAATTATTTAGAACCAATTGAATTATTATTACTATTATTAGACCTTTTAATTAAAAGGGAATTTATACTGGGTGATGATTGAAGGTGAGATAAAAACTTGGATCATAGCCAGATTCGAACCAGCGACCACTGGGTTTCTGACCTGATGCTCTACCAACCGACTACTGACCAGATATTTATTTCACTTCAATCACCATTGAAGTTTTGCCCGACTACTATATGTTAGTTGGTTCGAATCCGGTCACGGTCTAGTATAAATACTAGTCTGCCAAACTACACCTCCTATCCAAAATAGTCAAAATGATAATAAAAGAAAATTATTTCAGTAACAAATATATCCTTCCTAAGTAAGAAATAATTTGTGAAAAATAAGTTTTCAAGTTGTTATTCATCGCAGACTGACATCAGTTGGAGGAACAAAGGAAACCTGGAAGCACTGGACAGCTGTTTTGCCCTAGTATGGGACTCCTCAGCAGTGCGCACCCACGACCTCGCCAAGGATAGAACCAGAGATCTTCAGGTTCCGTGGGTGCGCACTGCTGAGGAGTCCCATACTAGGGCGAAACAGCTGTCCAGTGCTTCCAGGTTTTCTTTGTTCCTCTAATTGATGTCAGTTTACGATGAATAACAACTTGAAATACTTTTAAATCCCCACAACACCCTCAGAAAAAAAGTTTTACTCATAAAAGTGTGAAAACAATCCAGGTTGTAAAATAGTAAATAAATAAATAAACACATATAAATATTTCATTCCAAATCTTTAACACTCTATCCCTCCTGATGTACAACTTCAACAGCCCATGCGTCTAATCTGATTTATCAGTTATCTCATTTGATTAATCTGTATTAGTTTGTTTCTCTTTCATAGGATTCTTTCAAGGAAATGACAGACAACTAGACAGACAGAGACGTAATGAACATAGAAACTGATACACAAGTGCATTGATACAAGTTATCACACTGACCGCAGAATACAAAGAACAAGTGGATGGAAAATGAGTAACAAAATTGTGTAAGAGAATAAACAATTTGAAGATAATGATTAGTGCAAATATTCATGCTTTAGATATCAAAGGGTGAATACATCTACGCCATTAAGACTGATTCTCAGCCATGTCATCAAGAGTTCCCAACCACTGATTCCTATTATCTTTGGGACTCCAACTAGGCAGTCTACATCTCCCTACACAGCTCAGACCAACCGCTAGGGGCTGATATCCCGTCTTAGTCTGGTCACTCTGAACCCTCTTCCAACCTAATCTAACCTACCCTAATATGACACATCGAGGTAGGTGATGGGTCGAGGTGCATACTCAATATCCGGGCAATATCTGTCCACTTCGATTCGATCTGCTTTCACAGATTCCTAGCCTTGCACTTCTATGCCATACCCCTTCATTTCTTTTGCAATCTGAGCAGCCTTGCTATGTTCAAACATAATGCGGACATTCCATGTCCCTATGTTTACTTTCGCTTTCATTGAGAGAAGAGAAGAGACCTCGGCTAATTGGCTTCCCGAGGGCTTTCACAAACCGGCGTCATTGGGTCTCCCCGATTCCAGCGAGGAATAGGTTTATTTTTATTTTCAATATTTTGTCTGCGCTTTGAAGTTTGTTTAGCGGTTGGATTGGTTTTCCAGGGTAGGGTTATGCTAGCCTTATGCTCAACCTTCCGTGTTTATTCGGTTAGGACCGGTCAGTAACTAGTAAACTAGTTAACCAGGCGCAGTTGTGTATTATACTTGGTACCAATGTATTTAGATTGCTTACAATTAAAATAGTTAATAACAAACTTATGGTAAAGTTGTTACTTGTAGGTTCTTGTAGCTTCCTGTTGGTTATCATGCTGGACCTAATTTTTCTGCTGATGTTAGTATACAGACTCCTGGATTTAGGAAAAACAAATCATGTGCAGATCAAGTTGCAACGCTACTCGACGTATCATCATACAACACAGCATTGAATAGCAGTCAACTCAAATCAAGCTCAACTTCATCGACTTTGAAAAGGCCTTCGATAGCGTCAACCGAAAAGTAATTTGGTAGCTGCTTCAACACTACGGTTTTAGTGCCACAAACCTTTATCAACTTCATTCAACAGCTATATGATACCACATGCCAAGTGATTCACAATGAAAGCTCAGTGATGCCTTTGAAGTGAAGACAGGAGTAAGACAAGGTAGCCGCCTATTATCGTCGATCATCTTCCTGATTGTGGTCGGCTGAACTCAACTGGATCATGCAACAAACTGTGAAGAGCGATAAGATGGACATACCCTGACTGGACTGATGAATAGTTCCTAGGAGATTTGGATTTCGACGATGATGATTTATGTCTAGTGTCTTGTCGCACAAACTTGAAGATGTACAGGCAAAAGCAACAAGTTGACAGAACAGGCAGCGAAGACGGGACTTCAAGTAAAAGCAGAGAAGACAGAGGTGATGAAGATACGCAGTCAACAACAACGACAACAAGAAGCACCAATCACCACCAGCGGGAGAAACTTAAAGGAAGTAGTCTCTTTTGTCCACCTGCCCAGGGGAGGCAGCATCGTTTCAACTACAGGTGACACAGAAGAGGACGTCAAAGCAGCCAGAGTCGGAAAGGCAAGACAGGCTTTCATTAACGTGAAACCAGTGTGGAGATCTACTGTACTTAACATAACGAACAAGATACGGATTTCCAACGCCAACGTCAAGTCAGTGCTTCTATCTGCTTCAGAAACTTGGTGGGTCACGAAAAGGATTTCCAATAGATAACTGCAAACATCATACATCAACAGCTGCCGCCTACGCTCATTCAACACTGAAGATCAAATGGATGGTCAGAGGTAATAAGAATAAACAACAAGGGACTCTAGCTGTCAACGAACCAACCAAGAACCTATCACCCAACAAATATGCAGAAGAAAGGGGAGACGGATTGGACATACACTGAGAAGACCTTTTTGAAGAGTCATGTACCAGGCCAGGCCGTCGAGTGGAACCTAAATGGGAAACGACGAGTTGGGCGTCCCAGATGAGGGTGACATGGAGGAGATCGTGTAAGGAAAAAATGTAAGCTTCTCGGTAGACGTGGAGTCAGGTTCAAAAGACTACAGCAAAGAGAGTGAAATGGCGATGTGCTAGTGAAGCCTTATGTTCCAGTAGGAACCCAGGGGAAAAATAATTATGAAGGTGCAATACACAGATAGTCACATTCAATAGCTTCAGTAGTGCTCAATATTATTCCATATTATTATGCTTATGAATATTTTTGTGCACAAAATGTAGTAAAAAAAACCCTTACCGTCATCAAGGTCAGCAAAGTTAGATAATATGGACTGCAACTGTATGGAAAAAGTAATAATAATTGTTAAGTACTTGAGAGAAAAATGAACATAGAGATATCATGATCCTAAATCACAATGTAAAATTTTCAAGTAGTTTATGTTCAACAGAATTTCGGTAACTGATATATTATCAGACAAAAAATAAAATTATTCAAGCTAAATTTATTATATACGGACCTTGACTACCTGTAGAATTGTATACAAGAAAGTAGGAAAACGTAAAACAATATAATTATGTAATAAAATAGAACTAAAATGATATCGAACCTCTACACTAGGTGTTAGAGACAAGCTGAGTTAGAGAAAAGATTAGAGGGACTCAATGAGAAGAAAATGTTTGTCTATTCGATAAATGATGATTAGGTTAATGACATTTTACGCAACTACCAAACAAAATCTTTGCTACTTGGAAGTGATTAAATTTTCTGAAATAGGTACTGTCTTGAGTCCAAACTACTTTCATCTAAAGATCAGTGATCAAATTAATACACAGACTTAAACTATTTGAATTCTTCGCCAGGTGGCCAATAAACGCATCCGCTTGTATACTGCATGCACACTGATGCGATATATATATATATATATATATATATATATATATATATATATATATATAATACTTGCATATGCAGAAGAGCATTCTTTCCAGTAAATATTCCCTTCAGGTTCTACAGTGATAAAATGCATTTGTACAGCATGAAATCAAGCCATGCTAGGGACAGACCAAATCTCAAAATAGAGTGCAGAATAGGTATTGTAAGGAAATTGATTTAACACTATTGGGATGATATATATAGAGATGAATGATATGATAGGCAAGTATGTCTCTGGATACCAGAACATTTACCAACATAGTTCAAAAAGGGTGAATTGAACTTGATGAAAAGTTCAGTCCTAGCGCACCTAGTAGACACAGGTTATAAAACTTACAATTTCATTTATCGTATTCTAAAAACGATACGACATATAGCTCGCTAACACCTGATCAACATAGTGGAGGCTATCACAATAAAAGTTATCAAGTCTAAGCTCTGTATTCAGAAAGAACATGTTCAAGCGTTAATTCTCCCTTGGCCTTCAGCAAACTAAAGGTCACTTCTGCCATCTTTTTGTTCATCACCATTATATTACTCATCTGTATATGTATCATCCCAATATTGATAAGTCGATTTCCTTACAATCCTTAGTTCTCACTCCATTTTGAGAATGTATCTGCCCCTAACATGGCTTGACTTCACGCTGTACAAGTGTATTTTATAATTGCAGAATCTTAAGAGAATATATATTGAAAAAATATTCTTCCTTCAGATTGTTGCTTTTTATGAATATGATAGTGATTAACTAGTTACCACTTAAAACAATGCGTTTTTTCTTCATATTCTCTCAGGAAATCTTGCTCATTTCGATTCCTTAACAAAGCATGACATACAGGCTTATCACTAAAAAGAAACCATAGCACAATTGAGGAATACCAAACAATTTAGTCTGTTGGTAAAAATCTGATGCATCAGATTATTTTGAAAGCCGTTCCGTGCTTTAACCTTCTGTATGAAGTTTCAAACCTAATTCTAACAATAATTAGATTTGCTTCTTGATATGGAGCTGTGGTTCATTGGTCTGGGCAATTGACTTTCAACCGATGTATTAAAGGAGCCAAATCCGCTCCACCTACCGAGGTCTGAACAGTCATATATATATATATATATATATATATATATATATATATATATATATATATATATATATATATATATATATACAACAGGTGTAGCTCATTGCTTGGTGGACGAATACGTATGTGGTTTCTGACAGAATTTTAGTTCATTTCTTGCCTCTTTGCATTAAAGTTTTTAATTCCAGCAGCTTTAAAACAACTATCTATGTCTTCGGTTAAACTTTATAAAAACAAAAGTGAGCTATTCGATAAGGGAGCTATTTCTACTGCTTGAAAAAGTTATTTACTTTATGGTTTTTCAACAGTAGACACTGGAGCATACTAGAAGACCTAACTTATTTCCATGCCAGCGAAGGACTTTTGCAATCTTTAAAACTAAGGAAATCAGGTAAATGTTTACTCTATTATTACTACTATTGTTATTATTATTTGTCCCCTGGGTTCCTACTGGAACATAGGGCTTCACTAGCACATCGCCATTTCACTCTCTTCGCTGTAGTCTTTTGAACCTGACTCCACGTCTACCGAGAAGTTTACATTTTTCCTTACACGATCTCCTCCATGTCACTCTCATCTGGGATGCCCAACTTGTCGTTTCCTATTTGGGTTCCAGTCTACTCACATGAAATCATGGTAATATAAGATAAAATATATCTCATAGAAAAGTTATTCACATCCATAAAGTGTGCACATTACGCTGCTTATCAAAAGTCTGCATAGCCTTGAGGATAAAATTAAAATTACGAAATAAAAGGGACAAAAGCATAAACTGGGCTAAGAGATCTAAAGATGAGGAAGTTGAAGATAACAGTCATATTTATCTTTGTGGCATACAGTGAAATCCACGATACGGGTTTCGTCCTATTTGGGACTCGTCAGCTAGACGCAACTGCACCTCAGTAAGTAATGTTGCTACCACTCGGTACTGGGTTCCAGTCTCAGCGAGTTGCCAAAATGATTACAAAATCATGGATGTCCAGCAGTATCGAGGCATATGTATAGAAGCCAATCTGATAGCACTCATTCTCGATAGGTCGACTTTTCTGTTATGGTATTGAGAATGAATTTTGTTCAAAAAACATTATAATAGTTTTATTCACTAACTAACCCCTTCAGAATCACCCTCATCTGTAACATATTCTAATGACTGATTCACTTGCCATGCACACTTTCGACGAATCTCCAGTCGTGCTTTACATTTTCTATACCAACATTGTATGAGTACTGCAGCATGAAAAGCTGAAATTAGGAAGAATTAAAGTACAGTTTACATTTAACAACCAACAATTATTTAGGCCATGATGTGCACCAGACTACCAACATCTTAAAGTTTTACTATCAGTCACGAAACCAGATGTATTCAAGGTGTAAATGAAAAACTTAGTTGGCGAGCTCCAATACATTATTTCCTGATACAAAAAGCGATCGTCTTTACTTTTTTTGCTTTACTAGAAAGGATAGGATAAATGAATAGGATATTAATGACAGATAGTGGCTAGCAGTTGGATCCATTATGCGGACTTCGTCCTATTTGGGACTCGTCAGTTGGATGTACCTGCCTCCCAGTGAGTGATGTCTCTACCAAGACTCAAACCCGAGGCCGGTCGCTTCAAATACCACTCGGCCCCCAAGCCACGATAGCCACTTCTTGTGCGACGGGTGTAGTTTTTATTGTTGTTGCTTGTATTGTCCTGTCGTTGATTGGACAGAATTGATCGGTCTCTATTGGTATATGGGCTCCTGCGCCGATGCCTCGATACTGCCTGTGTTTTAATTATATATTAATGACGGAATAATACAAGCAACAACACTAAAACTATACTCGTCGCACATGTAGTGGCTATCGTGGTTAGGTGGTCTAGTGAATAATGATCTGACGTTTGAAGCGATCGGTTCTTAGTCCGAGTCCCAGTGGGAACAACACTCACTGAGAGACAGGTACATCCAGTTAACGAGTCCCAAACAGGACAAAATGCGCATCCTGGATTCCGCTGCAAACCACTATCCATCATTAATACATAATTAAAACACATGCAATACCGAGGCATCTGCGCAGGAGCCCATATACCAGTAGAGACCGATCAGTTCGGTCCAATCAACGACGGGATAATACAAGCAAGAACATTAATTGAAGAACGCCTCAACTTCTACTCCACATTAAATGTGCTTCAATTAAAACCGCTTTTTCAGACACATTACTCATAAGAATTCAAAACAATGACCTAACCTTGAGGTAGTAATCACCACAAACTGGAATCAGTTGGAGAACCATTGAAAACCTAGGAACGCTAAATAGCTATTTCATCCTAGTATGAGACTGCTCAGCAGAACGCACTCACAACCAGGCTTGGGATCGAACTCAGAGCCTTCAGGTTTCACTATGAACCCATTAACCATTCAGCCACTGAGTCCGAGTTCTATGGTTCACAGTTTCCAACTTCTGTCGATTCGCGATATAGTACAACTATTACTCAAGGTTTTCAGTTAGCATCCGCTTCCCTTTCGACCGGTTGACTCCACAGGTTACGGCTTCTCGGCAGAACTTCAAGATCATCTCATTGGCTGAAATTCAAACTCTTTATCCAGGTAAGGTAGTTAAGGCATGAAAAAACTTTCTTTGCAAAGGTAGATTCTTTACACAGTTTAAGTATATTATAAGTCTAATGGTTGAACAAACGTTTTTTGTATGCAAAGTACAAGCTTGAAGACTTTCTTATATTTGCTTCGAATAGTATTACACATTGGCACTATGTTGGATAGAAAATGAGGCCCTACACATCTGCTGGTTGATTATAAGCCTGGTCATTATCCTTGGTTAACTTTTTATGTTGTAAATTTTCCATCATAATTTGTTTTATCTTGATTACATACCGGTATACAAATAACTATTTTATTAGATAAATATCGCACAATCTTTATATTCTTAAGGTTTGTGCACACACACACACATACACACACACAAATCGGCTATCAGTTCGGTTTTTTAATTTGATCATGGGATATCATTTATTCAGTTGCACTGATCCAGCAGTCTTCAAGTTTTCATTGAAGTGTTCATTTCAGTTACAGTCTAGAATGCAGCCAAATAGACAGTATTATCACACAATGACTTGTAAAAGGTGAATTCTGTTTGATTTCTGATGAAAAAACTTTATTTTTGTTAAAATCTCCATTTTGGGAATAAAGATTTCGCCTCAGTTGACTGTTATTTCCAATGAGATCAGATAGATGATATGCAACAGCTACTTCTGAAATTCTCAGTTGCAAGAGGTTAGCATATAATTATTTTCCAGTCGTTACGTATCTAGGTGGATTAAAAAACTGGTACCGACTACTCAAAACTAGGTACAAGAGATCCAAAATAACATTATTGGTGTTCAATTCATATTCTTTATACTGGGTAATGATTGAAGATGAAATGGAAATTTGACCCGCGGCCGGATTTGAACCAGTGACCACCGGGTTTCCAGCCCGATGCTCTACCAACTGAACTACGAGGTACAGCATCGGATCGGAGACTTTGTGGTCACGGGTTCGAATCCGGCCGCGGTCCAAATGTTCATTTCATCTCCAATCATAACCCAGTATTAATACTAGTCTGCCAAACCCCAGCTATCTCAGATACTCCAATGATAATCATATTCTTTAATCAAATGCTTTTGATGTTTATTTCGAAGTGGAGTCTCAAGGTCAACCAATGATCTTGACCTTCTAGGGAAATCACGATTTAGACTAAAGATTTCAATTTTGATTAGCAGTGTGCTATGCAAGAGAATCCAGTGAATTTCATAAACAAGAGTTTCGTCTGTAGAATTACCAGAAACTAGGACTTTCTAAAAGAAATGGATGTTAAAATATGTGAGTCAATTCGAAAAAGTCAAAGTATTCATCTATTTCAAACTTATAACTGAAATCTTTATAATTTTGAACACAAAATAAGAAGAGGTAAAATGATAAACTTTCTCCATCATCACTACACTATTTTTAAAATAGATAAACTTTAGTTAGGATGTAAAATTCACTTACACAACTTCTGGTCAATTTCGAAAGTTTTCACTTTTTTCTCAACCATTACGATAATTACACATTATACTGTATAATAGCACCTTGATTCTTTTAGGTAGAAAAAATTAAAGAGGCATTCTACAAGGTAAATTAAAGATAATGAAAATTAACTTGATAATTAAAAATCTATTTCGAGTACATTTACTTGTATACAAATAACTTACAAAGTCATTATTACAGTTAGTTAAATAAAATGTTTTGATCAAGAGATTTTGAGTGATACACACATTGGCTTGAAAAAATGTATGTTGAAAGAATAAGCAACAAAGAACTTTGGCTGTCAACGAACCAACCAACAACTTATCACCTAACAAATATGCAGAAGAAAGTGGAGATGGATTGGGCATACACTAAGAAAACCATTCGGGGACATCACACGCCAGTCCAGGCTGTCGAGTGGAACCCAAATGGGAAACGGTGAGTTGGGCGTCTGAGGTGAGGGTAACATGGAGGAGATGGTGTGAGGAAGAAATGAGAGCTTTTGGGCTGACGTGGAGTCAGGTTGAAAAGATTGCAGAGGACAGAGTGGAATGGAGACGTGCTACTGAAGCTGTATGTTCGACTAGGAACCCAACGGATAAATAAATATAATAATAGTAATAAAACATTTTAATTTCTTTCACTGTTCTCACCACTGGACATAGTTTAACATAATTTATAAGAAAAAGTTATGAAGTTATCGTTTCTTCATGAGATCTAGTTAGATGGTTACTTTTACTACCTCTGAAATACCGTACTAGAAGTGGAAATTTCATTTAGAAATTATTATTTATTATTATTATTAGTCCCTTGGGTTCCTGCTGAAACATAAGGCTTCGGTAGCATGTCTCCAATGCGCTCTGTTCTCTGGAATCCTTTCAACCTGGCTCCTTGACAGCCCGCAACCTCTCATTTCCTCCTCACACGATTTCCTCCATGTCACCCTTACCTTGGACGCCCAACTCGTCGTTTCCCACTCGACGGCATGACGCATGATGTCCCTAGTCGGCCCCCTCAGTGTATGCCCAATCCACGTCCAATTCCTTCTGCTCACTTGTTGGGTGATAGGTTCTTGATTGGTTCGTTGACAGCCAAAGTTCCTTGCTGCTTATTATTTCTGGCCATCTGATCTTCAGTAGCGAGCGTAAGCACTTGTTGATGATGAATGTCTGTATTTTATTGGAAATCCCTTTCGTAACACGCCGCCAAGTCTCTGAACCATACAGAAGCACTGATTAGCATATATGCCTAAACAAGTCAAGTATGTTATCTTAGAAGTGTGTTTTCTGAAATACTCTACTTCCACTGAATACCCACTATTCAATCTGATGATTTGTTCAGAAAAGTATATAGACTAATAACACTTTTAAATGTCTATCATGATATATATCTTGTTATAAGCAATTTTTATGAGACTTTTAGGATAATATATCCTATAGATTGATCTGATAACACACTTACAGATCTGGTTTGCCAGTATTTCTATAAATATAAGCCCCAGTTTCTTAACTTTTACAGTCTTTTTTATTGGTTGTCAGAGTTTGAACTATACTTAGTAAAGTTGGAAGATAAGTGTTCAAAACAATTTATACGATTTCAATGAACATAGATGTTACCAGTAGAAAACCAGAAATATCATTGTGATAGAAGGGAATAAACAGCCATACTTGAATCTCAGTCATGTATGGTGACAAAATTTCATCACTAATAAAAATTGATTTATATATGGATGATATTTTATTCTCTAATCTACATTGTACTGTTGGCCAATGCATTTGTAACAAATCTTGCCGCACACACTGAGAATTAACTACTTTGATTTAACGTAGCAAAATTCCAAAGTGAATGGTTTATAAGGAGATGCTCCAGGTTGTTAATAAGAAATCCAACATTTCTATAAAGATGGTATAATTCTGAACATAACTGTCTGCATTTTATTAATCTTCAGCTGTGGCGAAATAGATGGAATGACCTAGGCAATAAAGTCTGCCTTTAGAGATATTTTGAACTAACTATCATGATAACTAAGTTATATTGTAATATACATCAAGTCCCAATCAAAGATCAATGGTCTACCAATAGCGAATAAAGAAAAAATTGCGTAAAGTATAGTTTAGATAACCCCTGAAATGTAATTGAGTTTAGTATATTAGACAGTTGGCGCAATCATCAGGATTGGTAGAATCTCATCAACACTCAAGAGTAGACAACGCGAAAAGGACTATTCTTCAGTGATCCAATCCTACAGGTGATCAATCATTGCCCGAATAGCTCAGTGGTAACGTCTCTGGTTGCAACATCGGGTGACATAGATTCGAACCTCTCAGAAATCATCAGTTTTCCCGTGACTGAAGAAACGAATTGCTGATGAATGTCAACAAGCACTGTAATGCTGAGTCTCCTAGCCTAATGACTACATTACACAGCAGTGATCGACAAAATTTGGCTAGCACTAAGCATTAGATAACAGGAAATTGGTTATACTACAGTTATTTGTCAACGTACGTATTCGTTATATTGTACACAACATCATCTAACATCCGAGAACCATATGCAAGCGTCTTTATCTTCCCTGGAGGAGAGGCGTGAACTCTTGTAAAAGGCTCAGATATGATACGGGTTGTGGCAGAAAATTCTAAGCATTTACATGAGAGAGGATTCAAGGGAATCAGTTTGTTCTTCTTCCCATACATGATTTACTCAAGAGACTTGAAATTCATAAGGAGTCTGGAGTTAATGTGATTTGAATCTTTTCTCCAGTAGAAACAAGACTTATAAAAAGAGATAGTTCAAAATATTTGAGCTAATAACGGATCAACTGAATACTAGGGGAGTACAAGAGACAGGGATGAGAGCTATCTCGGTAGAGCTCTTGCTTTCGAGAAAGGTAATCAGCTGTTGGAACTGTCTTCCACAAGAAGTGGTATTCATCTCATCTACTAATTCATTTAAGATGGGATTGGAAAAGCATAGAAACGTACCGGCGAGGGATAATTATAGTCCCATAACTTTCTATCTTTAAGTCACTGTTGGCAGTAGTAATGTGGAGATTGAATGGTTCTTTTAAAATATCAACAAAATGTGAAGGTATTATACACTCCTGCATAGAGTCCCACTGGTTTACAGTTGCAGTGAAAAATAAGTTTACAGATATAGGAAATTCGACAGTGGCTTATAGCTACAAAAACAATATCCAGTCAACAATCAAATTTCTTGGTGCATACTGGGCTAGTCAACTTCACGCTGTTATTGTTGAGGCTGTAGAACTAATCCTTTTGAGTAGAATTAATATATAGCTGTAGACAGTTCATACAGAGCAAATATCACTTTTCAACATTTTCTGGGCTAAACGTTGGCTTTATAAGGCTGATATCACCGAGTCAATCCAAGACCCAATGTCTGTTTTATGCACTAGCGTAAACCAGTTAATTTTTTCACGCTGGCTTCTAGGTCTTAAGGAATGGTTCCAGGTCTTTGGAGTATTGTAATACAGTAGTTTCAGCTTCTAACCTGTAATAGCTGTGATACACCTAGAAGGTGATTTGCTGTTGTTTAGACGTATTATTTGTCCCGAAAGTGTCGACCTAATCGAGTCTTCAAATATATTGTTGTCAAACAGTTGTTTACACTAACCAAAGAAAGATAAAAGGATTCTAAATATATCCAAAAACCCAGAAGTGAGAGGTAGGACAAAGTAAGAAGTTAAATCCGAAGAAATAAAATTTAAATCAAAACATAAAATGGTAGAGAACAGGAAGAAGGCGAAATATTGAGGAATACCACTTCTAGCCTGAAGTAAATGTGAGTCAACCCGCATGTCTCACACTTCTCCATGTAACTTAAATCAGCTCACCATTGCTTTAGCGTTTGGACCACCAAGGACTTAACCGTAAAGCTTCAATGTTTAATCTTTTATGAAACTATAACACAGGTACTTTAAGTTTTTCAAAACAATGATAGAATATAGCTTTCAGATGAAGGGAATAAACACCAAAAAACAAGAGACCAGTTCAGCCTGTATCTAAGTCCCATTCTTGCATGAAGTTCCTGAATAATTGTCGCTTTTCTTAGGGTCCAAAACACTACTGGAACCATGGAAACAGATGTATCACCGTCAGACAGTGCAAGAACAGGAAATATATGAAAGTGGAAAGCAGGATTTTGTACTGACAATAAATCAGCGAATTTGAAACCAAGAGGCAGGAGACTGAATACTCTATATCAGGCCCCGATTCTTTAATCTGACTAATGCACTGAGGCTTACGGAAAATGTGAGGAAAGTAACCTGATTGAAGGAGACTAAGACTCCTGTACGAGGGTAGTAAGAGCAGATCGACAACAGCATTAATTTAGGCTTACAGACATGATTGTTTCTGACCCAAGAAGTCTGTTCCGCTGTACTGCATCGTTCCTGCACCTTAACGAGGGAGTTTCCCAACTACTAGGTAATAACGGACTGACTAATAGCGATAATGGGCATTTGAGCTCCCAGTCGACCACTACCTACAAATCTTTTCGTCATCTTCCACCTATTCATAAGTTTAAGAATATGCCACTAACAAGATAAGACTCTAGATAGTTGACTAGGGTGATAAGGTAGGACAGCAAAAACTGTTACTGCTCACAAAAGACACCTTTTTGGGACTAGATAAGATCTGTTCAGCGGTGCTGAGGAAAGGAGCATCAATCTCAGCGTAACCTTTAAGTAAGTTGTTTAGGGTTTACTAAGTCAAAAAAAGCAGCCTATCCTTAAAAGTTGGGCCACATGATGCCAGCCTTCAAAGGAGATCAACAAAGTAACCCAAGGAAGTACAAACCGATGACGCTCTTATCCATACCTTCCAAAGTACTGGAGTCGTTATTCTATAATGGACTGAGGATCGCCTTACAACGATCAACCTCTTTACTCCCCAACAACACAGATTTAAAAGGATACCCCTGTACTACTAGTCTGCTCACCGCAGTAGACAGATGAATTAGTATTGTCAACCGTCGAGGTCGGAACAGTGTTATTTATCTAGATTTCGC